TGGATATTTGGATTGTTCAGTTTGGAGCCATTTTGAATAAAACTGCTGTAAACCTTAGTGCGAGTCCTTCAATGGGTATGTTCTGTGTCTTTAAAAAAAAATTGAGAGAGAGAGAGAGAGAGAGAAAGAGTGGCGGGAGGGACATAGGGAGAGGAAGAGAGAGAATCTCAAGCAGACTCCCTGAAGAGCATGAAGCCCCACATGGGGTTCGATCCCAGGACCCTGGGATCATGACCTGAGCTGAAGGCAGATGCTTAACGACTGAGCCACCCAGGCACTCCTTACTGTAGCTTTAAATAGCAAATCTTTACATAGTGCAAGTTCTCTAATTTTTTTCTTGAAATTGTTTTGACTATTCTGAATCATTTGCATTTACAAAAAAATGTTATAATCAGCTTGTTTATAAAAAAAGACTCCCAGAATTTTGAATTGAACTGCACTATTCATAGATCAATTTAGAGACAATTAACACGTACAAAATTAAAGTCTTCCAATTCACAATTATGGTATAACTCTCCAGATTTTCATTTCTTAGCAATTTCCATGGTTCATTGGACAAGTCTTGCCCAAATTTTGTTGTATTGGTTCCTAATTATTTCATGTTTTTTAATATTATTGTAAATGGTAACTTCTAAATTTCAATTTTCAATTATTTGTTGGTAGCATGTAGAAATAAAATTGAGTTTTGTGTATTGACCTTGTACCTTACTTTACTAATCAATTCTAGTTGTTTATTTTTTAAGATTTTATTTATTTGACACAGAGAGAAAGCACAGGCACAAGCAGGGGGAGCGGCAGACAGAGGGAGAAGCAGACTCCCCACTGAGCAGGGAGGCTGATTTGAGACTCAATCCCAGGACCCTGGGATCATGACCTGAGCCGAAGGCAGACGCTTCACCGTCTGAGCCAATCAGGCGCCCCTCAATTTTAGTTTTTTAAAAAAATCTATTATTTAGGATTTTCAACATTTGATGTCTTCTGCAGTTTTCCTCCTTACAATATGTATGCTAATTTTATTTCACAGGCCAGGATCTTCAATATAGTGTTGAATAGAAATGGTGACGGCAGATACCTTTCTTTCCCCAAATTTTAGAAGGAAGACAAACGGTTATGATGTTAGCTGCAGGTTTTTCAGACACTCTATCACGTTAAGGAAGTTCCCTTCTAATTCTAGTTTGCTCAATTTTTATCATGAATGAAGGTGAAATTTTACTGTATACTTTTCCTACAGTTATTGGGATAATCAGCTTTGTCTCCCTGTATTGTGTAAGTTGGTGAGTTACACTGAATTACTAAATTCTCCTAGTGATTTTTTAAAAAACATTTAAATTGTGGTAAAATATACATAAAATTTACCACCTTACCCTTGTTTAAGTGTGTACAGTTCAGTAGTGGAAAGTATATTCACATTGTTGTGTAATCAATATCCAGAAATTTTTCATCTTGCAAAACTGAAACTCTATACCTATTAAACAACTCCCCATTTCCCCCCCTCCCCGGGAAATCATCTGTTTTCTAAGAGTTTCAGTCTGTGACACACTGGAAATAAAAAAGTTGTCCTTCACCATGGGTTTTAAAATCAGTCTAAGTGTTTTAAATCAGTTTACCTGTAGTAAAAAGCCTTTTAAAACATGTGCTTAGCTTGCAAATTAAGCTTTAAAGTCATACACACACCAAAAAAATCAGTGTTTTGGGATTACAAATATACCTAATTTTCTGATTATTTTCATTACTTCAAACTAGATAAAATTAGGTTGTGTGTTTTTAAAGCAGTTTGTTTCACTCAAACCATAATTTTGTAAACATGTTAATCAGAGTTTGATCATTGCTTGACCGTAAGTAACATATAGCACCCTTTCCCCTGACCCCTTTGATTCCATATACTCTGGTCCTGGCTGAAGCATCCTGTTTTTATGCAGACAACATAAATAGGTAATTTTTTTTAGTTAAAAAAGGTTTATTAAAAATTTCTACTTAACAGTCATTGCTTGCCTTTTGACAAGTACTCAGTGTTACCATTTCTCCTGTTCCTATTCTAAAACAGTTTGGCTCTGTGGATGGGATTTTATTTTTTTTTAAAGTTTATTTATTTTGAAAGAGAGAGAGAACGTGCAAGCAGGGGAGAGGGGGAGAGAATCTCAGACTCCCTGCTGAGTGCAGAGCCCATCAAGGGGCTCGATCCCAAGACCGTTGGGAGATCATGACCTGAGCCAAAATCCAAAGTTGGATGCTCGACTGAACCACACAGGAGTCCCTCATTTATTTTCTTAAAGACTAAACTCTAATATCTAATTTTAGTTCAGTGGGATCTGTTCTTCCCAAATGCATAGTTTTTAAGTATGTGGGACTCTCATGTATAATACAGCAGATGTAGACTGTCATATTTTCATCCAACCTAATACTCCAGGAATTTGAGACTATTTTTTTATGCAGGAAAAAAACTTCCAAAAACGCAGAAATATACTGTATAATAGTTTTATTTTTCTCATTTTACTATTTTTACATTTTATGCACAAATATTTTTTATCTGAGTAAAAATAGAAAATAACTGTTTCATGTAAAATTACAAAAAAAATAAAAACCACAAAGCAATACATAATTGTTATTATGACTGTATAAGGGTCTTTATTTAAAGAGTAAAAATGTATGCAAAAATCCTCCTTCCTTTTACAAAAGACTGAGAATATTTTTTTCTGGCAGCAAGTGAAATATCACTGAAATATCAGTATTTTTACACCTCCTAGATGTGAAGACATTAAGTTAGTCACAGGTTGTTTTATAATTGTGAATTTTAAAACATTTTTGTGCTATTTCAAAGATACACTAGTTCTTTTTAAAAGGCAGTAGCATAAAACGATGAACGTGGAAAACAGCCGACCTCACCAAAAATATTTGGAGGCACAACCCTTTAAAGAAATATCACACTTGAGTTTCACCATTAATCGGGAGAGAAAAACAACTAAACCATTTCCCTAATTAACTGACATGGATTGATACAAAAATTAATGTGATGTGATGAGTCAATCCATGTGAAGATCAACCACACACAGCAATTCTGTTTAATATGTCTGATCTTCTGATATCAACACAAATTTCCAAACTTCAGGCTAGATACTTATGAAAGTTGGTTCAATGAGAACCTCATATGGAAAAGAAGTTTTAAAACAAAAATGGACATTTCCTTATTTTTGTACTTAGACGGTACAAAAGATGACCAATCATTTTATCTTTCTTCCTTTAAATACACTGTAAATTCCCCTATGGAAAATTTATTCATAAAAACAGCAAAGAATGAATATCATGAATTATATTTTCTTTTACAACGCAAGTTCTCTTTCAATAAAAGAAAAGACTCCTGGCTTTCTGAGGATCATACTTCAAAAAGGACAATGAAAATAGTTTAATATTTAAGTTGAGAAAAAGTAACTGAAGTTTCTTCAATCAGTTGGGGAAATTAGTCTCATGACTTCACCTACGTTCTGGTGCATAAAATGATGGTGACAGATGAAGAAGAAAAAGAAAAAAGCAGCAGCACCTGATCCTGTATGAGAATGATCTTTGTTCAAGTTATAATGGGGAATAAAAGAAAAACTGCCAAAGGAAGAAAAATGGAGAGAATGTGTTCTCGGAAAAAGGAATCTAAGGAATGCTTAAAGGAGAAACAGCAATAGTTTGACTTTGGAGATCTAAAAGAAATGTGGGTGTTCCTTGCCTTAAAATATATACATAATACATATAGTTGCAACATAAAGTCTGTCACCTTTGCTAAAACATTAAAATAATGTCTTCCCAAAAGCATTTTAAATATTAAAGTCAAAAATTTTAAGCTCTTGCTAACATACCAGAAGAGTTTATTTTATTGTATTTTTTAAAACTATAAGCGACTTGCCAACTCCCCAGACTGCAAGATGGTGCAGTAAAACCTTCTTTTTGGTGATCTATTTGTTCTGAACATAGAGCTTCTATATATTATTTCATATGGTTTATTCTACTCAGATATTCTTGTAGTCAGTGCCCAAATTAAACTAATAGTTTGTCAGTCTATTCCATATGTGTTTATAGAAAGGTAAAAATACAAGTTATAAGTTTTACTCTTTTTAGGCATCCACTGCAGGGTCTTAAATGACTTAAGCATATAAATGAACTGACATTCCACATTGCAGTCCTACAGCCCAGCACTTCAAGTTATGATTTGAGGTTACCAGGGAAGAAAACCAGAGATCCTGCCTCTCCTGCTTGCTCCTAGGATCCCTGCCTTATGGTTCATTCCAAACCACCATCTGGGACCAGTACAGAGACCGCTAGCAATGCCTCCTTGACTTAGAACCATGGCCCTTTCCTCCAGTTAGTCAGAAGCATCAACTGAGCTCTTATAAAGCTGTTTAGGGGGATGGATTTAAAGGAAATGATGAGGGAGAAGATGCATAAAGTAATGTGTGAGAATCAATCTTCTGCCATAAGAGGATTAAAAGCTCTTTGTCAGTATCTCATGATTCGTGTATAATACCTTTTTTGTTTTAACAAAAAGAAAAAAAGAAAGCAAGCAAAAAAGAAGGACATTTCTAGCCATTTCTGTTTAGTGTTAGCTGGTGATAAGAGTTTCATATATGAGAATCATATAATTAAAACATTTTTTAAATGAGTTATTATGTTTTAATATATCTTTCCTTTTGACTATCATTATATCTTCATATATATGTGTATAGTGGTCAACTGGACATTGTATACAGATATTTATACTCACATATATATAATATTCAAAAGGAAGAAATTAAGTAAATGGGAAATTTTGTTTTGAGAGAAGACTGCCTATACTGGAGAATTTCTTTTTAAAAACTACTGGCAAGTAATTTGCTCTTGTCTTGAAAGGTAAAGTACTGCTTACTGATTTAAAGTCTTCATTTCATCAGAAACACAATGACTATATAAGCTGCTTCTGCATAATATACTGGCAGTATAGGGCAATTTTAAAAAAGAAAGAAAGCCATACCAAACCAAACTAAACCAAACTTTTATTTTCTGGCTGAGGTATACCTTTTCAGTTTTTTAAATCTCTGACGGGAAAAACAGAGATCATTTCAGAATTTTTGTTAATAGCTGGTTTATTAGAATTAAATGCCTCTCTTAAAATAATTTAAATTCTTGGCCTGATATTATGAATAATCTATACAGAAAATCCTTAAAATTAGCTTGAGTTAAGCCAGATTTCAACCTGGATCTCCTTCTGCAGCAATGTTCTTCTGCCAGTCGACTTCGTATTGTCCTTTGCTTGCAAATATATAAATTATTTTAATAACTTGATACTCTCAGTTTAGTAATTTATTAATATTATAATTTTATTTGATATGAATATTTTAGCTCTGCTTGATTAGATGAAACAGGCACACATGCTTTAGCTATGAAAAATTCCATTTTCTGGTTCTATGTAAAGCAACATCTAAAGCAGCAGAGAGGGGAAACAGTTATATTTTCAAAAATAGTTAAGCCAGACTGTTTCCTGGAGATACTTCATTTATTTTTCATCCTCAGATGCTACTGGCTATTTTTGGTAGGGCTAGACATTAATACTGACCAGTTTAGCTTTCCTGACTGTTAACAAACTATCCCACAATGAACCTGACTTCGTGCTGAAGACATTGTGGTGATCCTTAACATACACATATTCTAAAATATATGCTCAAAGTAAAAAGATCCAAATTCACAAGAGTATGAAATATTTATAAAAAAATCATGCATCAGATTGTACAGTCTAGAAATAAAAGAAGATTCAAATTCAGTAATAAAGGTAAGAGCAATACTTGCTCTAATATTTAAGAAAGACCTCGGGCTCCCAGAAGATCCTGGGCTCAATTCTCCTTTTCCGTCTGCAGGGAAGCAGTGGCCAGGGCTACTGCTGTGACCGGCTGGGCAATCCCGTGGAGCTGCATCTTTGCAAGTTTCTTCTGTTCACATTCTGTGACCAAACGGTTCAACTCTGCTGCACTGTATCCAATAAGAGTCTTCAAGTCACAGACAAACTTGTACACAAATCTCTTGCCTTGAACTTTACAAATCATGTCCCCATCATAATAATACCTTTAAAAAGAAAAACATGTTAGGACTATACAAAAAATACAGAATTTGGATTTCTTACAATAATTCACAAATCCTTCCATAAGCAGGAGCCTAGTACTGTATTTCCCTGATAGCAATTAACACTGAAGTTATATAGAAGTATTTAATGTTACTATCCAAGGAAACTTCAAAGCATTGCTTACTAAAATTTCAATGTTCAGTATTCTAAAACTCTATATGCTGAATTTTCAAACCATATTTCAACAATTATGATAAGATATTGATTTAAAAATGAACATTATTAAAACAAAACAAAAAACCTTGGGAGCAGTAATAGAACCTAAGAACATGGGCTTGGAGTCAGAATGTCAAGATTCAAAATCCAGTGTCTCAACTTTGTGATTTTGTCCACACGAAAGTCACATTTTCTCTAAGACTTTATTCCTCGTCTATACAATGAGGACAAAAACATTACTTACCCTCATAGAATTGTTGGGAATTAAAAGGACTGTCTCTGCAAAGTGCTCACTTAAGCACACAATGACTGGCACATAGCCCTCTATAAAATATAAGCTATGTTAATAATTAAGAACCCACATAAAAGGAGAAATTTGTAATACATATATTCTATGGACTGTGGGAATGTCCACTTCTTTTCTGCATTGTACAAAATCCCTTATGTTGTAGCCACACCTTTGCCGTCATTTAATATGTAAAGGCTCTCCTTTCAGTGAAATTCTCCAAATCTAATATGGAGCCTCAAAGTATAAGTAAAGGGCTAGAAGAAAGACAGGATACAGAAAACCAAGGAAGAGGAGATCATAAAGAAACAAGGTTTCTATATCTACACAGACAAATCTGGAGAAGCCCCTCTAGATGTCTGGTTTACTGCTGCTATGTATGGAGATGGGAATAGAGCTGGATTTACATTTACTTTGGAAAACAGAGTTTATTTACTGTTATGTGCTGCCAATTCCAATAAAAGGAAAAAAGGTAAGTCAAGACTTTTATAGGCAGGAGGACTGTTAAAGCCTTGTATTTTGTTTTGTTTTTTATTTTATTTTTCCCCACCTCCTCGAAGCCTTTATTTTAAAACTGCACTACCCATTTGTACCAATTTGACAATAAACAGTTATGAAAGGAACAACTATTTCCCAAAGTACCAAAATGCTGTAAACTACCACATTTGGCAGGATCTTATTATCAAAGTCATTCAACTTAATCAAGAGTCCATTAATGAAAAGGTGGATCTATACGCAGGAAATTAAGTCCCTTTTCCTTAATTTCTGAACAGTGAAAGTCTAACAGTCAATTATGTTCACTTTCTCAGTGAGAGATACAACACAGTGGACAGAGTTCGTGTGTTTCCTTTTGTGCCAATTACGTTTATACATAATTTAGATCTTAGCCCACAAACCACCAACTGCCTGTCATCCAGTTTAAAATGAGATTGGTATTTTAATTTCTTAAGAAAATTTCTACATAATATATAAGGCTGTAACAAATAGACACTTGAGAAAAAAGTAAGATAAAGGAAGAAAGTGGTTTTATATTTCAAGGAGGAAAATGGAGTTGGTATAATCTTATGTCTCTTGGTACAAGGTGATAAAGAGTACGAACACTAAGTTTTAATTTTACTTAGTATGTCCTTCAATCTACTAGATGCTGTCATACAACCACATATAATAGCATTCATCACATTTGTACACGCTCTAAAATGAAGAAAGTAGAAAGGTACATGGTACCTGTGTTTTCATGGGTATGATTTTGCCCCCCTTTTTTTTAAACTTGTGGGTTTTTTTAGCCTTTCAAATTGTGAAATATAATTCCCTAGAATCCCTCCAAGGTTCCTCCCAATCACTACCCCTGCTTCACTCTAAAAGGTTAAAAACAATCCTGTTCCATGATGGTAATTCACTGCTTGTCACCCAAACATGCATCTCTAAATGCTGTAATTTACTCTTCCTGTTTCTTGAACTTTACACTATAAATGCATTCATACAATATATACTCTCTCGGGTCTGATTCCTTTGTTGAACATTGCATTTGTGAGGTTCATCCATATCAATGCTTGTAGCCCAGTTCATTTCCATGGACACACAGTCCACTCTTGTTTACCACAATTCATTTATTCACTCTCCTGTTGTTAGGTATTTGGTTTCTGGTTTTTGGATATTATAAATAATGCTGCTATAAGCATGAGTGTGGGCATATGCATGCAATTCTGTTTGGTAGATACTGAGAGAAACTGCTGGGTTACAGGTTACATTCCTATCAAAAATGTAGAGGCATTCCTGGTCCTCTACATCCTCAACAACACCTGATACATCGGCAAGCATCTAAATTTTAGTCATCCTGAGATATACATTGTGCCATTTTATTGTGGTTTCCAACCAAGTTTCCCTGATTATGAAAGAGGCTGTGTGCCACGGCGAACAGTCACTGGCCATGAGGATAATCTCCAGTCCGTAGTGTCTATTCATGTCTCTTGATTATTTTTTCTATTTCTTCTACTGATTTGTAAGAGTTCTTAAGTTACTTCAGACATGACTTTTATGTCAGGTTTGTGGCTTGCCTTTCACTCTCCCGACAATGGCTTTCGTTGACCAAAAAGTGCTTAATTGAATTTCTTAATTTTCTCCATCAGGATTAGTGCTGTCCATTCTGTTTGATGTCTTTCCTCACCTACCGACATCATGGAGGTATTTCTAGATGCTTTCCTATTTTACTTTCCACATTTAGAGCTACAAGCTACATGGACCCGATATCTAGTATGGTATGAGGAAGGGGTCGAGTTTCACTTTTTTCCATGTGGACAGTCAACTGTCCGAGATCCATCGATTGAAAAGCAGGTCTTTTCCTCATGTCTTTTCCCCACGCCATCTTTAAGTCAAATACTCTTATATTCTTGGTTCTACTTGGGCTCTCTATTGTAATCTGTGGCCTATTTGTCTCTCCTAAGCAAACGACACACTGTCTTATTGTTGTAGCTTGGAGAGCAAGTCTTCCCACTCTGTTAATCTTCAGGTATCCTAGCTACTGTGGCACTTTATATTCCCACATAAATTTTACAATCACCATGTTAAGTTCTACAAAAAAACTTTCTGCATTGAAACATATCAATCTGAGGAGACCTGGCATCTTAATGATTAATTCTAATAATTTATCTATAATTTTGAAGGGACTTGTATATATGCAATTATATCAACTGCCAAAAACAAGAGCTTTAATTTTCATTATATGGAAATGATCTTTAGATAGTTGGCAAAGTATGTGAGATTAAATAAGTGATAAACACACTGAAAATACAGCATTTTAGGGGTGCCTGGGTGGCTCAGTCAGTTTAAGTGTCTGCCTTCAGCTCAGGTCATGATCTCAGGGTCCTGTGATCGAGTCCCGGCTCAGCAGGGAGTCTGCTTCTCCCTCTCCCTTTGCCCCACCCCCGCCTCCCACTCATACTCTCTCTCATTTGCTCTCTCTCAAATAAATAAAATTTACAAAAAAGAAAAGAAAAGGAAGCATTTTAGTTACTCATGAGTGCTAAAGAAAACAGTGATTTTGGAAGAGAAAAATAATCATGCTAAAATATGTAACAGAACTTACATGATCATGATCCTAACAATGAATACTGATATAACCACCATTTCCATATAATTATGTAATTACATTAGGATGAAGGGAGAAAGAGTGTGTGTGTAGTGATGAGAGGTGAATCATAATCTCTCAGTGTGAAGTTCACAATGTCCAAATGAAACATGAAGTAGCAGTAAAAGCATATTATTTAGAAATAGAGATAAATTACAGAGCTATTTCACACTATGTTCACTCTCCAAAAAAAGACATTAGTTCCATATATTCATATATCCTGCTTTTTTACTTAAATGTACATATTGAATTTCCATCACTGGGGTAAGCATAATTTCTGAGAGTAATTATGTCAAAAAAAATTCATACTACTTATGTTACAAATAATTTTATTCTATTTCATTTCAATCTGTGTAAAGGTTGGATATTCAGATACAGGCAGGCTGAAGGGAAAGAAATAACAGAGATATGGGTCGACATTTTGCACCTAGTTATAAAAACAGAAAATATCTGCATCTTTGCTAAAATTTTATACTCGATTCACCTATGCAAATGACAGCATCTTTATCTGTTATGTCAATGACAGAAAACTGAGAGATTAAACATGTAAGTTTTAAACAGAGTAATATATGCTTTTCAACCAGATAAAAGCAAATAATCTTGGAATCATCTTAAAAAAAAATACGTGCCTCAAAATTATTACTAAAGATCTTTGTAAAAAGTCATTTTTGGGGTGCCTGGGTGGCACAGTCGGTTAAGTGTCTGACTTGGTTTCAGCTTGGGTCGTGATCTCAGGATCAGGGGATCAAGCCCCCTCCCCCCGCACCGGCTCCGCATTGAGTGCAGAGTCTGCTAAAGTTTCTCTCTCCCTTTCCCTCTGCCCCCCCCCCGCAACCCCTGCATGCTCAAGCACGCACAAGCTCTCTCTCTAAAATAAATAAATCTTATTTTCCACAAGGAACCACCATCGCCTTCCCCCCCCCCAAAAAAAGGAAAAAGAAATAAAATAAATAAATCTTAAAAAAAAGTCACTTTTAACGTAAGTGTGAAACTTTTAGCTCTTTGTTTAATGAAATAAACATCTTATGAACAAGTCTTTTAATGTTTTATAACAATGTTAAACCTAGAATAAGAAGTCATTTTTTAGAAAGGCTTGATAATAAAAAGAAATAATAAACGATAGTAATGATAAATGGTTACCTTAATGCACGACTGAGTTTCTCATAGTTCATTGTAGGCTTATTTTTACGTTGTCCCCATTTTTGTGCAACTAGTTCAGGCTGATTTAGCTTAAACTCGCCTTCATCACCGACCCAAGAAATGCAGTCTCGAGCATCCTTGTCAGTAAGAAGTTCTAGCAAAAACTGCCACAGTTGGATTTGACCATTGTTTCCTAAATTGACAAGAAGGACAAGCGTTGACCACAGTGCCATGGATTAATAGCAGGCAAAAGGCAACAAATAGGTTCTTCTCTGGGTCATCCCTCAACCATGCTAAAAACAAAATTTTTTTTTTAACAAATGCTGTTTAAATATTGACAGAGAAATAATCTATGTTCATATTTTCATACAGTGAAATAAAACAAAATACACGATTGACAAATTTTATAAATACCGTAAGATAATGCAGAAATACCTGTTCTGTTCCCAGGTGAACTTCTATCTTCTCCTGAAATCCTTGGAGCTCTTTGTACTTTAGCTGCCTTTGCACTACTATTTATAACTTTAATAGTAGTTGGTGTAGCAGACTGCACTGATGCTGGAATAATTTGCACAGCTGCAAAGAAAAACGGAGGGAAAATTTTTGTTTCCCTTCTAAATACAAGCAGTGAAAAAAATTACTGAAAAACAAAATGCTATTAGTTTTACTGATGCCCCTCTAACTAGCTCAACAAAGGGGCCTCATTTAAAAAAAGCCTTAATCCACAGCAGTTCTGAACAAAATTACCAAAGAAGTTCCAAGGATAAGGTATGATGTTTGCATTATGGGTTGTGAATCTTTAACTTGGGGAATAAGAGTTGGTCTTATTTTCAATTAACTTAGTGGTGTATACACATTAGACAAAGAATTATAAAAACATTGGCTTTAAAAATATTTCTTCATTAGAAGTAGTTTATCAAATGTTGGGAGAAAATATGGTCAAATGAGAACTCATTCACACTACTGGTGAGAACACCAACACCTACCACCACTTGGTGAAAAGCTGTGGTAATCCCTAGTCAGGTTGGAAGGGTGGAACCCCTGTGATAAACCAGAGAATCTCACACACATTCTTACAAATACTCATTCCATGATATTCACAGAGTTTTAAAAATAACAGACAGCAGTGAAAATGAAATCATCACAAGTCTCATAACTGTTACACAAAAAGCAAGTTATAAATGGATATGTACAGTTAATTATCATTTTACCTAAAAAGTTTAAACACTGGTAGAACAATGCTATAAAGTGTGGTTGCCTCATTGGTAAAAATATAAAATACGCATAGAATGAATAATAAACATCAAATTCAGGATAGTCATTTAAAACGAGATCTACAACAGGGTAAAGTTGATATATAAAGTTTTAGGTTCTTATGGTGTACACAGATGTTAGTTACTATACTTTATTTCTTGGTATATCTAAAATACTTCATAAAAAGTTTAAAAACTAATTTTATTACCTTGCAGTGCTGAATTTTAAAAGAAAATTTCTTATTGACAAATGGGCCATATATCATGGGCATGAATACTCACGCTGATCAATTGTAACTATCTCATTCATCTGTTGTTCCTGGCTTGCCAACACATCTGAAGAACACACATAAAAATTTTTGTTTACATCTACCCCAGCAATGCAAACTCAAGTTAGTAAAACTCAATTCAAATGACCAACCAAATAAACTAAAAAGCAAAACATTAAATAAAACTTACTGGCACAATAACCTAAAAAATACTCGATAGTCACTTTGCAAAGATATTTTTAAGAGAAATAACAGATGGAGAGCTCTAATTCTTTTAATGTTAAGAAATACTAGGAAAATGGAGTTACTTTTTACAATTTACAGTATAAAAGAGCAGTTCAGATTCCGAGTTAGATAGTACCATAACATAAACATCTATATCTAAATCTATCTGTATAAAACCATTTAAAACATGGAAATCTTCAAGATCAAATCAAAGATGAGCACGTATACCACACTGAAATTGCTTATACATTTGTTAGATATGCATTTGCAGTCAAGATGACGGAGAGATGGTCATAACTTACTAATCTAACAGAATGAATAAAAGATTTGAATAAAACTGCTTTAACTTTTTTTTTTAAGATTTTATTTATTTGAGAGAGAGAGAAAGAGAGGGAGAGAGTGAGTCAGGGGAGTGGCAGAGGGAGAGAGAATCTCAAGCAGACTCTGCTGAGCAGAGAGCCCCACGATTTTATGACTCTGAATCGGGACCTGATTCAAGAGCCGGATGCTTAACTGACTGAGCCACCCAGGCACCACAAGACTGCTTTAACTTTATAAGGCTCCTTAAAGATAGCTAAATTTTCAATAAAATTGTAGTCGTCCTAAAAGTCACAAGTGAATGAAATAATGTAACGATGGCTACAAATATAGCTCTCAACATGAGAGTTACACTGTAAAAGGTCCTAATATAAACTCCTTAGAGATCCATTCTTTACTCATCTGTTGCTATCCCCTACTCAAATGCTATTCTTTATTTCTTAAATGAGAATTCCTATTTCCCAGTCTCTAATACTTCAGCCTATTTATTTAGTGCCTATCATAGATTAGATGCTTTTCTGGTGAAGCTGTACCCACCAGCGATCATCCGTGTACTGAGTGAGTCCTAGCCTGGCCCCCGAGCACAGTTTTACTTATGGTGCCATGCCAGGATCCAGTTCCAGACACACACAGCTGGAAAGGACTGAGAAACTTTTAAAAAGAGGTCTAAACCCTACCTGTCAGATGGGGGCTTTCTTTGGGGGTTTAAACAGTTATATGGGACTAGCCTGAGATCTTGGTTCTGATCTTAGCACTCACTTATTGGCTGTGTGACTTTGGTAAATTATTCAACCAACTTAAGCATTAATTTCCTCATGTTTAAACGAGATATCCCCACCTACCACCTCATGAGGCTGCTATAAGGATTAAAGGAAAATGTTTTCAAAAAGCACAGTGCTTGAAACATGGCTTAACTTTTCAGTAAACTGGAGATGTTACTGCTCCATCCAGATTCCTAATTCTGAGCATTCTCCCCACTTCAAGCAAATGAATAGATACACAAGATTCCTCTGCTCCCCATACTAGGAAAAGTCTGAAAAAGCTTGAAAGACTGAGAAGCGCTAGGAGAACCAGAGACAACCACAACAAAGTGCTGCCGTGGGGGAGAGAGCAAAACCCACCAATTTTAAACTGTAGTCTAAACACTGTCTTTGCCCTAATCTTGACAGTTCCTACAAGGATACCTCTCAGTACACATGACTCACATGTTAAAAACCTGAAACAATTCAAGAGTTTTCCTTATTTATCTGAAATGTAGAGAAAAAAAAAAAAACCCTGTGAAACCAAGGACAAAACTTTAATCAGAACATTTAAATTATTTATCTAATAAGAAAAACTAGAAATAAACCCTGTAAATGTAATGAATGCAGTAAGACTTCCAGTGTCAATATACACTTTTCCTCTCTAATATTTAAGAGATTCCATGAAAGAGAAACTATAATCAATGAAGGAAAGCCTCTTTCCAGAGCTCATTTCTTATTCAGCAGCAGAGAATGCACCCCAGATGAAAACCCTAAGCCTCCAAATACCTGCGGAAAATCCCTCCAACCAGAGCTGTTCCTTTACTGGGCACATAATAGAACCAACCCTACCAGTTACCTTTTAATCCATAACCATTATAAAAACAAAGTCAGAGTTTGTCTTATTCACACATTCTGAAAAGTACGTGGGTCTGGCTAGCATTTCTGGCCTGTAGAATGGTGTTAGGGAACAGGTTACTGCTACAATACTTTAACAGACAGTCACTGAAATATAAGATGGATTAAAATTCAAACAAAATAATTTACATTTATTTGAGCTTTTGGTCAAATAAGTAGTTTTTTGGTCAGCCAAGTAGTTTCTATTTTCTGTATACAGTCACTTAAATATAATAATAATGTCTGTGGAACCAACCTGGAAATACTTATAATTAGCAGACTTCAAAACAGAGGACTGCACACTTACACTTCTTTTTCTCTTAAGATCCCATTCAATTAAAAGAAATTTTAGAAGGTTTAATTCCATTAATGATGAAAAGAACAAGAGGGAAGAAATCTGTGGACAATCTTAAATTTCCAGAAGATGAAGAGTACATGAAAGAACTGACTGATGAAACAGAAGTCAACGACTGGAATTTATGGAGAGAGCTAAGTGTAGGTCACAGCATCTTAAAAGCCTGGATTCTGATGTTCTTCAGTCTGGTTTTGGATCTTGGCTCTGCCGTTCCCTAGCCCTGTACCCTTGTGGGGCTGGCTCTCTAAGCCACGGTATCCTATCTAAAAAATAAGGAAAGTAATGATTTGTGGCATTAGCAGAGGGATTAAATGAGATAATACATATAAAGCTCCCAGCACAGCCTTATACAATTAATAGGTGTTAATTATTATTGCTATTATCAATGATCACAATGAAGACAAAGTTATAAAGAAATAAAGTTAAATTCAAGTTACAGTGCAAATAGATAACAATTCAAATTTTATACATTTTCGAAGAAGTTCCAGATGACTCCATAGAATTTCTCCCCGAGGCACTCGCTGAAAAAAATCTTCTTGGTTGAGACTGCATAATTCTCTTCCAGAAATGTTGAGTGTGGTCAGGTCTATATCAGTCATGCTGAATTCCTTCATTACCCAAACCACCCAATGTAGGACTTGGTCTGTGGACCACTGTATAGGATCTAAAGAGAAAAATATTACCATTAGCCTAGTCCTATCTCAGATATGTATAAATTCACAGTTAATTTGTCAGTACACATATACATACACACATACATATGGAGAAAAATCCAGACAGGTTTTTTTTTTCCCAAGTAAGTGAAGTAAATAAACTCAAAAAGGTTTTTAATACTATATTTTCTCCTCAGCTCCTTTTCAATTTCTCAATCTAAATTTTTAATGAATTCACCTGGTTTTACATCAGTTAGTCTGGAATTTTATCAAGAAAAACAATGTAAAATTCAATGGGTTAACTGAAAGAATAAAATATGGGATTACTCTGGAGAGAATGGAATAAGTTCTCCAAGTTTTAAACATTACTTTGTAGCAGTGTATAATTTGGTGCACTGAAAAAAAAGAAAAAAAAAAAGAAAAAAGAAAACTGTAAGGGGTTTCTGAGGAGCTAGTCTTATTCTCCAAAATGTGCACAACATAATCTTTCCTCCCTTTTGCTTCTTATAAAAAGCTGGTGTTCCTATATTTACCCTTTAGTGGCACTTATAATACAACATGCAAATTGCATGTTTACTCAGCTGTCTTTCCCTATAATACATTAAGGTCTTAAATATAAGAACTGTGTCTTATAAACCACTGTATCTTCAGAGTTTACCACAATGCCTTATGCATAGCATAATCTGTTAAATCCATGATAAGTAAATCCAAATAGTCATTTTCCTCATCATTTTTTTACTATCTAATTGAGTTCACAAATGAAAAAGATGGCCAACATGTATAAATATGTCATTGTTGTATCCCTGGCACCTAATGGAGTATTCTACCCATATAAATGTAATTAAAACTGAATTAATTTTGGTATAGGTATTTCTGCATGGAGAAGATGATCTATCCAAATAGTATTGGTTACATGCTCCCCAAGATGCATGCTATTCAACTGGAATAAGCAAGAAAAAGACATTTAGGTACTTCTTAAGAGTCAATTTATAACAAAAGATGAATCAAACAAATACAGGATTGACAGCCACAGAACTGATTTTTTATCTGATCTTTTCACAAAGAGGAGAAGGGAGAAGGATTCTAAGATGGCAGCAAAGTTTTTTAATGTCTCTGAATGCACACATTAAAGAAAAAAACCACTAAAAGCAAAAGACAACAAAACCAAAAATCCATGTACATTTACAATAAAACCAGGTGACAATATATCCCCATGGAAGCCAAATACACACAGGTGAAGACAAAGCAGTAACAGTCAGAGACCTTCATGGTATCAATATCTATTCAGGAGAAAGCAAAGGGGGAAGCAAAGGGAAACCTGACCCATTCTTCATTCTGAGCCCAGGAGAACCTGAACACAGCCAAGAAGTTTTCACTGAAAGCACAACAGGCCACGCTCAAAGGAGTAGCTCAAATAGTTCTGCCCAATCCAACAGCAGCTGAGTACAAAGGTCCATGGTAAAGTTTAAGGGGCTGGAGCAGTGCACCACCTTTCATTTTTCAAACTGAGCCACAGATCACATCCAGGTGAGTGGAACACAATGAGAAACTGGAGGGAATGGGATCTAAATTGAGTAGCACAGGAACACCAAAGAAAAAGAGGAAGTCCAGATAAAAGTGGAATAAGGGAACAGACAGGAACTGAGAAAGCCAGGGGCTATGTTTTGCTTTGTTTTTTTAAGTTTTATTTATTTAAAAATCTCTACACCCACCATGGAGCTTGAACTCACGACCCCGAGATCAAGAGTCACGTGCTCTTCTGACTGAGCCAGCCAGATGCCTCTAATGGCTCTGTTTTTTAACACTATTTGAAAATAACAGAGGAAAGAGTTACAGAAAGTTAGAAAAGCTATCCTGAACCACGCTGCCCTTTAAAGGTTCAAGTAACCTCATTTTACATAAATATGAACCAAAAAAAAGTGGTTTTGCTCCAACTTTTTTGATCAAAAAAGTTGGGGCAAATACAATCAGTCTGATTTGTTTTCTTAAATAATATCAGGACTTCTGGTGTAACATAACTAATTGTGCATATTCTCCCTGCTTATTTCTCTAAGACCCTAGTAAAATGATACTAAGGAATTTTTAAATGAAGTAAACTCATAGGAACATGAGTGAAAATGATAAACGGATGGAAGATTTTCAACTAATTTGTGAAGATAGTCAGCAGAGTGAAAATCAAGTGAAGTAGAAGCTATGACCTAAAATATCTATCAAGGAGGATATAGTAAGAAGTAAGCGTTTCCTGACTGCAGAACCCCTTTACTGACTCATGTCAATATTGGTTCCAGGTAGCAGGAGAGGTGTAAATGGAAAACGAGGGACTAATTTAAAGTGTATGGTGTGGTCAGAACCTCCAGGGCCTCTCCTTCATTCTCAGGAGCCAACTGAACAGAAGCATCCCCACACATATGTCCATATCCCCCCCTCAATCCCCCTTCCACATCCCTACATCCCGGAACTTTTGGGACAGACATGAAATGGATACTGATCCCAGTAATAAAAGTCTACAAACTGAAGAGTGAGACCCTTTGCACTTCCCTTTCCACTTCTAGAATGCAGCATTCACATACATGGCAACCCTAAATCCTCAGCCCAACCTTCTACTCCTGTCAGTGTTTGACCAATTCTCCAGATTTGTAGTCTCCCTCACCAAAAAAACAAAACAAAACAAAACCCACAAACAACCAAAAAACAAAAAACACCCCACCAAACCAAAAATAAAAACAACTTTTATTTCCTAGGTGCCCTTTCTAAGGAAACCTGTAAGGAGAAATGAGAGAATAATGAGTAAATGTGAGAATAAAACTAGGAAAAAGGAAAATAAAAGATCCTGGAAAATGGATCCAGCACCAGAGAAAGTCAAGGATGTCCGAGGATGACAGACAGTGCTGTGGCAGATTACAAAAGAACCAATCTAGAAATACTTGAGAATTTGGGAAAAATTATAGGCACAAAACAGAGTGATGGAAATGGGAGAAAGTCAGTCTTGGTATATACAGAAACCCACAAACTAAAAATTAAGTCAACGTGGAACTTCAGGAAAACCAGAAGTTGTAAAAATGCAGTCACATTTATATGAAAAATTCTCACAATACACACAAATAACTAATGACTTAAAAGTTATGTAAGAATATTCACAAAATGGGGAAAGATAAGGTTTTATTTGCTTTGCAGGGGAAAATAATATAAAAGAACTAAACCTCATGTACTGTAACAAGAAGTTAATAATGATTAAAAGCAGTGAAGCGGAAAGTGGTTAAAAGTGGGGAGCAGGACTAAAGAAAGGAAAACTGTTTTTCGGAAGACTGACTTTCTTTAAACCAGACGTGACAGATACACAATGAGAGCTCCCCCGTGAGACTGGGGGAGAACTGTGGAACTGGAGAGCTAGTTATATACAAATCAACTCTATCTGTAAAACTTTAGTTTTGTGTGAATATATAATATTTTTAAATGTGAATATCTAACAATTCTGGGAGCCAAAAACATAAGTATGTATCTTTCTTTTTTATTATTCAAACAACTGGAAGAAAAAAATAAAAACAAAAAAGCAGACTTCCCCACCTCCCCCCGTTAAGCGCTGGAAGGCACGGCCTATCTTTCTTATGTGCCACTGAAAGTCCAGCCTTTAACAGGATGCCTGGCGTAGGTGGCACTAAACCGTTAAACTGCTACAATATGCAACTTACATTACAACTGATACCCTGGTAGGGGAAAGTAAAATCAACCTTAAAATAAGAGCAACTTTTTTACAGGTAACGCATTGCCCTCTTTTGAAACTCAGTAGCAATTCTGTCAGTAGTGTGGTTGAACTTGGGTATATTTATGATTTTTTTCCAACACTGGAAATAAATTTAGTTCTGTCCTCTTTCTTAAAATATCTGTGAAGTTTTGGACTAAAAAATAAAAAATTAAAAAAATTAAAAAGCAGAGCCATCTTTTCAATATTGTTTAATAAAGGACAAGAATGAATACTGACTTTAATTTTACTTTTAGTCAGTTTTAACATTCCCATTTGGCCAGACTTCTAACTACTATGAATTCACTAAGTTTCATCTGTAGTTTTTAAATGTGAAATAGTAAAAACAATCAATCAATCAGCATGAAAAAGAATTAGAGTCCTGGAAAAATATAAAAGTGAAGGGATTATACATATATATGAAGAGGTGGCTCTAAGCTCCTGTCAAGACACAAAGTTGATATGTGTAAAACGAACTTTAGGGAACTGTCCAGTGTGAATCAGTATTTCAAAGAGATTTAAAGTAGCTATGACCAGTTAACCATATTTCAATTTTGCAGAGAATTAAGCAATTTCAAAATGACTACCCTTAGGTACAGACACAGAAACCCGAAATCATAGTTTCCTAAGAAAACAGTAATCAAATTTCTAAAACTTCCCAGTTGCTAACAATTTCAAGACAGAAAAAAAAAAATCAATGATTTAAAAAGTCTTCCTGTACCTAAATAAACCCCAAGTGTTTTAAAAGAGCTTTATTCTAAGTAAATGATACCCCTGGTAGGTACTCGAGTCAGAGTTTATAATCTTGCTCTCTACAATTCATTATTATATACTACTCTCCATACAAGATCCTATTACTGAAGGGTTCTTGTTGAAAGTCTAGTAAACTACGTAAAATATTATTTCAAATGTTTTTATGCTCTCTTCTTTCCTTCTGAGCATTTCCCCTCTCAAAGGTGACTTCAAACTCACCAACAATAAGGTCAAGCATGACATCTATGCTAGCTTTTACAAGTCAAAAATAAATAACAATATCGTCAATCACATAGCTGAGGAATGGCTCTATCTGATCCTTCAAATTGGGCTTACCTTCTTAGGTTCCAATTAAAAGCCCCTCTCCTGGCTTCCTTCATCTATCCTCCTGCTCGTGCCACACCATTTTATCTACAAATACTCAGGTTACTAACAACTCATGAAACTTCAATAATATTTATCCCCCAACACTCCTCCCATTTGCCCCCCAAAGGTTAATATTGTCTTCTCTACTTCTATAATGTCTATTCTTTCCTATAATTCAGCTTTGTCTAACTCTACAGTTATTTTTCTAAATCTACCAATGAGCCTCTGATCACCAAATTTAATAGATACTACTCAGTTGGCATTTTTTTTACTTTGTCAGCAATGTGGCCACTCTTGTCCATCTAAAACTCTTTTTCAATTTCAGAGACACTATATACAGTTCTTATTTTCCTTCTGTCTCTTCAGCTATTCCATGTCTCCATTCCTTTTCCTCAACCTGAAATGCCAACAAGCTCCAGCCTTTAACATTGTGTTCCTTTCCATTTTATCTCTCTCCATCACAGACTGTATATACTTGCACCTAAATTATCAAGTCTAGGCTAACCTAGACATTATCACCTAGTCACAGCTCAACTATAACATGCTCCTGTTTTCCCTTCATTTAGTCTCTACCTGCTCCAACGTATGTCATATACTACTGCCATATTCATCTCCCATGGTCATGTCCATCAATCAAAAGCAGTTCTATACTAGAGATAACTCCACCAAATCTTCTCGCTACTCCTACATACTCACTCCCGTGTCTAACTTTTGCACATACATTTCCTGTATGGACTGTCCTATGCTCAATAGTTTGTCTATAATAATAAACCTTTTCCCAATGTTCCCCAGGCCACTGCAATCCCTTTGAGATTTTTTTTTAAGATTTATTTATTTATTTTAGTGGGGGAGGGGCAGAGGGAGAGCAGCAGACTCTATGCTGAGGCATGGAGCCCGACTTGGGGCTTGATCCTAGGACCCTGAGATCATGACCTGAGCAAAGGTCAAAAGTCGGATGCTCAACTGACTGAGCCACTCAGGTGTCCCTGATCTCTTTGAGATCCTAATAGCATATTCCCTTTATCTAAGTTACTGACAGCTTAAAACCATGCTACTTTTAAGGGTAATTCTCTCTTTTCATTTATCTTCTCTCTCTTCAACTCCACTATGAACACCCTAAAGACAGAATTTTTTTTTTTTAATTTCTTTGTATTCCTAGCACCCAGGACAATATTTGTCCAAAGGGGATAAAAAGAGAGATACAGAAAAGAAGTATTATTCCTAAAAACTTTTCATTTAAAATAGATTATAACTTACTCACCCTAGTGTCTTCTATGTCAAGCTTAATTCTTATTGTTCTACTAACATGTAATTAAGTATTTTATTACCATAAGGTATCCCAAGGCGTTCTTGCTCTTTCCTATAACCTTCCAGAGCGGCAGCCCATCTTGTCACTTGTTCTGAGGTTTCGTCTGAAATAGTTGTAATGTGTTTTGTGCCATCAAGAGTTATTACTTGAGCTTCCTCAACAAGATGTGCTTCTGCTTCCGCATGATGGGCATCTGGATCAATGACTACTTCAACTGTTTCCGCAGGTTTAACAATTTCAAGGATGTTTAGCTTAGGTTCAATTCCTTAAGAGTGGGGAAAAAAAAGTAAATTTAAATGAAAACACAAAAGCCACTAAAAAATAAAATTTAGCTTAGTTTATATGTTCTCAAATGGTAGAGCAAATGCTCTCTTTTAGACACAAGTACAATTATTCACTAGAACTTCAGTAGATAATAGTATTGTGTCAATATTAATTCCCTGATTTTGATAACTGTAATGTAGTCATATAAAAGAATTCCTTATTTTTAGAAAACATATACACTGATGCATTTAGGGATAGAAGGAAATCATGTCTGCAACTTATTCTTCAACTGGGCAAAAAAAAAAAAAAATAATGTGGGGACAGGTGGATGGAGAATAAAGCAAATGTAATAAAAGTTAACATTTGGAGAATCTGAGTAAAGGACATCCAGGAGTTCTTTTACTACTCTTGCAACTTTTCTGTAAGTCTAAAAGGATATAAAAACACCATCACCATCACCACACACAGCTACATATAAACATTTATTAGAAAAAAAGTACCAATATGGATTAGAAAATAAAAACCAGACTAAGGAAAATATAAATGAGTAGTTACCCACCTGTAGAATTTTTAAAAGTCCTTCTAAGCAAATTAAAATTATTTACTGATTGCTTTTCTTTGCAAAGGTCAAAGTACATGTTTAAAAATGAATAGGCACTGAGTTTGTAAAATTAAATTCACATTAACTTCTGATTTCCATTTTCAGTTGAATGAAAAAAAAAACCCAAATTCTTAAGATATTCAAAACAAATAAACTAGCTCTTCATAAAATCATCTCAGATACTTCTGTTACAATGACAGCTCTAAAAAACTATCATTACTTAACAGCTACTGTTTGGTCATTGATTCTGTAACAATCTGCATCAAATTTAATCAAAGTGTATTTGAAAGATTAAAACTCGACTTCAATCCTCCCTGAAAACCAACTCTATAATAAAATGTATTGCTGTCATTCATTATATGGTATAAAGATAAGTCACTTTTTCAAATATACATGAGAAAAATAACTTAAAAAAAAATTTTCCCCTAAGATTTATTCCCTAATCCTCCACTCAAATTTCAACAAGTCAGCTCTTCCCAAATCCACTTACACTGAGAGGTGACTAGGCTTTTAAAGATAAAACAAAGAACTTCTTTCTTATTGTCAATGATAGTACTGGGGAAATTGTACATCGGAAGGGGATAACTACCATTTTTATAGTTTGAGAGAAGTATGATTTGTGAAATGCAATTGTAAGCAATATAATATGTTCAAACATTAAAATTAGTGTAAAACTCTGGTCAGAACTCCTAATAAGCCACATTTTTTAAAAACTAAAATTCAACCTACCAAAAATGGTTTCCTAATTTTCTAACTTTTGTACTTACACAAGATTAGTAAAATACTGTGATGGATATGGCTGACTAAGTCACTCAACATCTTTTGCAAATTCCTCTCTCTGTGCTAAACTGTAGGGAATAGATTTCCTTGTGGCGAGGGTTCCAGTTGTGATCCTGGCTCTAGAATCACTGGCATAAGCCTTTTTCTGGAAACAAGTTAAGAAGGAACAAGTAGGCACATGGAACCCATTTTTTGGCTAGTGTGATCACTGTGAAGGCAGAGTGGTTCTAAGTTGACAGCTATAATGGTGGCTTTCAGATCTGGCATTTTCCGGATCATGGCAGGGCAACAGCTTCCTTGGCAATCCAGTTCTGCAGTGTGGCTAAGGCATTCTGAGAAAGTCAACCAGAACCTGCTCTTCCAGCTCTTTCTACCTTACAATATATCCTTTCCTGAAAAAACTAGTTAGAATATGTTATACTTTAAAAAAAAAAAAAAGAAAGAAAAAAAGAATACGTTATACTATCTGCTTCACCCTGACAGATATAATTATTAAACCAAAAGCATGAGTGTTTGGCTACAACATCACATTAGGTAATTTAGACAACCACCTAAAACACGTTGAACTTGTAAAACTGAGTTCTCCCATATTTTAAAAAATATGAGCTAAACTTTTAAGTAACTATAAAAGTTGCTTACCTTGGTAAGAAATTACCTGTACACTAAGTTGTACAGTTCCATCTGTTTTTACTCCTTGGTCAAATAAACTTCGTTCCGGATCCAGCTAAACATGAGAAAATGATTAAGATTACTTTGGTTTTGTCATCACGTTTAATACAAACGGATGTACCAAACAGGACTTAATTACTGAGGCATACTAATGAAATTATAAGAACACATCTAATTATCCAAGTTGTCACATCTTATAATTCTTTGCCAAAATTAAACATATTTTAACCACTGTGGTAGTAACTAAGGACAACATAAATTAACCAAATTTATTTGAGGTGGTGGTTTTCTCTAGCACTGGAGTCTAGGATTTTAAATAATGCCAAAAGGCAACTGTTTATTCTGTAAATATATTTTAAGCAGAAGATAATGCAATTTATCTGTCATGAAGCAAGGGTGTTTAATTAGTGGGGAGATTTATATAAATCTATTAACATAATTTTTGCCATGTCCCCCTTATAACCATGCCACACATTTAAGATCAAGGTTAACTCTAAATCTCTTGTAATGAAGTTAAAAAAGTTAAAAGACTTATGACCTTACTACTTAACCTAGCTTTGATATCTTCAATCATAATCCTCTGTCTTTTCAGTATCAGGTTTTTTTTTTAGTATCAGTGTTTTTATCCTCCACATCTCCCTTACAGTGAATGCGTTTCACACAAAAGCAACCTGATGACACTTTTAGACATTGTCTGTCACCATTTTAAAAGGAGACTTGCATTGCAATTGTCCTGAATAATGTATATATCTGTGTCTGCATTTCACGCAGTGGGAGGTACAAAGTTCCTCCCACTCCCATTCCCAAGAATTCAGTCAATATTGTAGTCATGATACAAACATGTTTTCTAATATTAAAAATGTCATATAAAACCTAAAATCTTAGGGGCGCCTGGGTGGCTCAGTCGTTAAGCGTCTGCCTTCAGCTCAGGTCATGATCCCAGGGTCCTGGGATCGAGCCCCGCTTTGGGCCTCTCCTCCATGGGAAGCCTGCTTCTCTCTCTCCCACTCCCCCTGCTTGTGATCCCTCTCTCGCTTTGTCTCTCTCTGCCAAATAAATAAAATCTTTGGAAAAAAAAAAAAACACACCTAAATCTTAAATGACTTTAGGTTTAACAACAGGGGTAAGACAAACTGTATAACCATGCAGAAAGATAGGTCAAACATGGTAGTCTTACTACTTAAAAGAAGTCGGCCTGATGCTTTGTTACAAACTCTCCTAATATCAAGACTTCTCCTCTCTGTAACAGACACTGGTATGATCTACTTGAAGCTACAGCATGTGGAACTCTGGAAGTGAACTCTCAGGTAGTACTGAAATATACCAGCTAGTTCACATACTCCTCAAATTAGCACAACCCTGCTACCTTCCATCGGCTTTCATGTCAGCCCTCATATGAAAATACAAAAGCATCACCACAAGCAGCAAGCATTCTGACTCCATGTGCATGTGGTTAATTGACGTGAATAAGAGAAGTTGTTAATCTCACATTCTTTTTGAGGAGAGGAAGGGAGACAGGGAAGACTGCAAAATGCTTTAGATCCTACGCTAGCTTGGAATTCTGTGATACAATGAGCTATGCTATTTCTTATTTATTCAACTAATATTTACTGAGAACTTATGATGCGTTGGGTACTTCGCAAGTAATATTTTCATTTTAGGTAGATCAGGTATGCTAAGAAAAGCAACAAATGTTAGAGCTGAAAGGCAAGTAAGAGATCAAGTCCCGATTTCTCTTCACTTCACATGTGAGAAAATCAGGTGAAGCCTCAGTGATGCTGAGCTGACTTTCTTAGAAGTCTGCCTCAAACAACTGAAGAAAGAGTTTTGAAGTCACACAGGCCTGGGTTCAAATTCCAATGTACCTCTTTGTAGCTATGCATTGGGCAAATTATTTATCTATAAATCTCAGTTCTACATCTGTAGAATGTAATTAAGAATATGCTGATTTCAAAGACTAATGTGAATATTAAATGAGGTAATGTAGCAGTGTTCTGCAAATATTCTTTGGTTCAAGGTAAACTGCCCCTACAGCTCCAGTTCACCAATTTGTCATGGCTGCCTTAGATACCAATCTACAGAAGTTATTTCTCTAACTCCATGTTTTTGGAACATTTGAGTTATTCTCAGTTTCTGTACAACCATGCAATGAACATCTCAGATGTACAACTTTGCTCACCTAGATGAGGATTTCTGTAAGAACAATTTATTGAGGTGAACTACTAGATATTTCGCATTTAAAATTAATACACACTGGGTGCCTGGGTGGCTCAGTTGGTTAAGCAACTGCCTTCGGCTCAGGTCATGATCCTGGAGCCCCGGGATCGAGTCCCACATCGGGCTCCCTGCTCAGCAGGGAGTCTGCTTCTCCCTCTGACCCTCTTCCCTTCGTGCTATCTCTCATTCTCTCTCTCTCAAATAAATAAAATCTTTAAAAAAATAAATAAAATAAAATTAATACACACTAAATACCAGATTACCTTCCAAAAAGATTGTGCTAATTTATTCTCTCCCTGAGAGAAGAAAAACTTTAAATCATAAAATTATTAATAATATTAGACCCACTACATTATTTAATTCTAGAAGAACAACATCCTCGCCTCCCCCCACCCCCCAACATTAATAGATTTACTGAAAGGAAAAGATAAAAATATGGTTGAGTGGAAACTGAAAGGCACAAATTTCATCAGAACATTTCAACTTATTCTACATCAAAATCTTATTTAAAAATAATACATATATGATGATTTCAATTTTTAAAAAACTAAAGCAAAAATCCTGTAACATGGAATAGCTATATCACAAGGCAGGCAAAGGGGAGAAGTAAAGAGCACGACAAACCAAACAATCCAAAAGAAGACACAATATGTATTTGTATAAGTTAGGATAAAAAACAGTATAAACTCTAGTACTTACTCATATATTCAAGGAAGGTCTAGAGAAATTCTTTGAGCAATTCTATCTAAGCTACTTTTTTTTTTTAAAGATTTTATTTATTTATTTGAGAGAGAGAGAATGAGAGAGAGAGAGCACATGAGATGCGGAGGGTCAGAGGGAGAAGCAGACTCCCCACTGAGCAGGGAGCCTGATGTGGGACTCGATCCCGGGACTCCAGGATCATGACCTGAGCCGAAGGCAGTCGCTCAACCAACTGAGCCACCCAGGCGCCCTCTAAGCTACTTTTTATCATGAAAATACTACCTTTCTTGAAAGAATACTATAAAACATGGCTATGAATATGCTGTAAACATAACATATTATTAAAATACTACCACACGTAAAATCCTATTGCAATAAACTCCAAGAAATGTATACACTGGTGTTTAAGTTCTTATCCAAAATTCACTGGTGCACAAAGAAGCTAAAAGCTAGTTAGGAATGAAGTGTGAGGAAGACACACTTCCAAGTTCCAAAGTCAATGTGCTTCTCACTACTTTATGTTTAGGCTCTGATTCACATTTATTTAAACTTATTTCGTATTTTGTTTGATTTAGTACTCAAGATTTTTTTTTTCTAAGTAGGCTACACACCCAGTGTGGAGCCTGATGCGGGGCTTAAACTCATGACCCTGAGATCAAGACCTGAGCTGAGATCAAGAGTCGGATGCTTAACCCACTGAGCCACCCAGCTGCTGCTAGTACTCAATCTTTTAGATACAATTTTAAATGGAGGGAATTTTGCTGGAACTTTTATTTTTAAATGCTTAAATTTTGTAATACAGGTCAAATTTAGTTATAAAGACTACAGCTATAGAGATAAAAGGCTAACAAAAAAATATTTCTGGGTGCCTGGCTGGCTCAGCTGGTAGAACATGTGACTCTTGCCCTGGGGGTTGTAAGTTCCAGCCCCACATCAGGTGTAGAGATTACTTAAAAATAAAAATCTTCAAAAAAAATTTCCACTGCAGACTTAAATGCTGAAACATAAATCTCAAAAGAAAAAAAATTACCTGGATATCTTGCAGGCAAATTTCATGAGCATCCAAAGAACACTGCAGTCTTGGTTCTAGTAGTTTCTTTAAATTGCCTATTGGCTCATTGATGTCTATAGCCTGGCTTACACATTCAGCTGGGGTGTAGGCTTGTTCTACAATACTAAAAGTTAAAGGATATAATGGTTAACAAATATTTCTACCCTGGATATTAAAGTCTGGTTTTTGAAACTCATTTCTGCATAGACACTATTCATAGTGGTAGGCTTATCACCAACTAGTGTTGCCAAACTGAATACTAAATTGCAGAGAAATGCTAGCATGAAATTTAAAGCACCCCTGCAAATATATCTCCTTAGTTATATATATATGTAGCTAAGTATATATATGCACAAATAAACATTGCATATATAACATTTACAGGGAAACAAAAATATTACATTTTCAACTTATTTTGAAAAATTTTAGAATGGAAAATAAAAAAGTCCCCTCAAAATTTGTATGCCATCTCTATTAGTCAATTTCCTTTCTCAACATAAATAAATGTACATAATAAGGCATGAAAATATAAGTTATATAAAATACTTTCCATTTAATTTAATATGAGAACTACTGGTTATAATCAGTATAATTCCACATTAAAAAAAATACATTCCTGCCTTAAAACTCTGAAGCTCTTTTATATTGTTATTTCATACTTTGAATTCTATGAGATCATGAGTGCCTTGAAGGTAAAATCTTTGGCAAATAATTCTTTTTTTCAAATCCTTATATGGAGTCAAAGAGAAAACAGACATCAAATAATATCTACTAAATCGGTGAATCTGGAATTCAATTAAATTTCACACCATGTTTACTTTTAATATGATTTAATTCTCATCTGTAGTTGTCAAAGACAGCACCATGTATTTAAAAATTTGTCAAGTTCCATTTTCACATAAATTCCAAGTATAATGCGATATATGCATCACATTCAATAAATGTACATAGCCTAAATTTCTTCTAATACTTTAAAAGTTTATAGTAGACCATTCATTAAAACAAAGATTATTTTTAAATGATAGTAAACTATTATTACTATTATTTTTGTTAAGGTAAATTAATTGGGTCTTTTGGCTAAGTATTTCTACCAAATTCTTTAACGACAGTACAATAGGCTGTAATTTTCTTTTTCTGTAACAATCATTCTTTAAAAGAAACGTCACTTTAAGATAGATAGGTAAAGACCTATTTTATGTGAGCTCAACATTTAAAAAATGTTTAAATATTTTGCTGTCACCATTTAAACCTTGGGAAACTTCATGCAAAAATCTGAATTTCTCCTGAAAAACTGGATGATCTCACATCACTGGACCTAAATTCCTGCACAACAACTATGTACTGCAGCTTCACAGCAGCAAATGCTCCTTTACAGCTACTCCCCAGGTTAACATAGTAACTATCAATTTCTTACATGAGGCATCCGCAAAGATTTTCTGTAAAGGGGCAAACAGTAAACACTTTAGGATATGTGGGCCATTTGTGTATACATAAATATATCCACATATGTATGTATAAGCACACATGCACACATACATATATGTATCTGATAACTGAGAGGAGAAAGCATACTCAAACATGTTGAAAAGCTCTATTAAAACTTTAAGGTTTTAAATCTCAGCTTGACTCTCAACACTCAGCATCCCTGGCAACCTCAGTGATTTTGTCCATTCAACAGAGTTGTTCTAAACCTTCATTTATTCCACAGAAGTCCTCTTACTCAGTGCCTTTTACTTTCAACATATGATCTCATCTCCTGCTTTATAGAGAAACGTAAGGACCATTAGCCATCATCTTCCTCAAGCTTCTTCTTGACTCTCAAATCTTTTACCCAGACTGTGTCCCTGGATTCTGAAATCATTACCACCGCTCTACCTCTTTAATGGAGTAATAGTCCATTACTATCCCCAAAACTAACACCTTTCACTGCACTATATACTTAGTACTGTGCACATAATTATCCATATACCTGTATGCCTCAAATACAACATGGCCTCTGTAAGAGTAGGTTACTGTCTCACTTATTCATATATTCCTGACAGCTACTATTTTAGGGCAGTTACTTATAGATATTTGTTAAGTTATTTCAGTTTGTGAATTAAACTTTCTGAAATAAAAGTAACCAGCACTGAGGAAAGGAAAAAGAATCAAACCGTGCCCTAGTGGAAAGAACCATCACAATCAACTGCTTCATCATTATCAACTATATTTATTACTACCTTTACTTTCAAACTGTCTTTCCCTCCCAGCTACAAAGCAATTAAGTCAAAGGTAAAAAAGCAATACATTATCCCACAAAATGCTGAGGTCAGTTGAAAAAAAAAAGTCTCCCCAAAACTATGACTTGATTCTTAATTTTAAGTAGTTATGCTGATAATTATAAAAAGTGGTAAATGCAGGAAAAAACCAACCTTTCTTCTGTGCACTCTGGTTTCTCTGTCCCATCAATCTCAATTTCTATTAGCTCCTCTGCTTCTCTTTTAGTCATGGTTGGAGTATTTCAAAAGTTCAGTCCTGTAAGAGTTAAAACTTAGGACATTTTGAAATTATCTGAATAAACAGAAATGCTATACAAAAAGCAGAAATCCAATAAATAAAATCAGTTAGGTAAGCAGAAGAGGAAGTAATCTTACATAATAAAGAAAATCCACAAATGATATTTACATTAACCTAACATGACTTTTTCATCATTTCTTTGTATTTACTAGGGTATTTTCTGGCCCAAATTCTAAGTCAATGAGTTACTTCAAAATCAAGTGAAAGGTATGTTAATTCTTTACAGCAACTCAGTCTTAAAAATGAATTCAAACCTGCACCTTAAAAGTTAACAGAGAGATGAATTATAGTTGTTCAGCTAAAAGCTGTACTTTAGTAGCAAAATTTACTACAAAGCATTGTAATAATAAAGTGACAAAGTTAATCAGAGCTAGTATTTGTGTTATAAATTACATCTTATAAAGGCCAGTACAATATTCTAAAACAGCAAAATAAAGTAACATATCATTATAGATATGCTTATTATTGCCCTGATTACACATTAGAATTTTTTTGATTTTTTAGATGTAGTTTTATATATTTTAAACCACTAATTTCAGTTTTTCATTCTCTCATGTAAAATTACCTGCTGCTTTAAACTACCACTGATACAAAATTACAATTTTTAAAATGCTAAGTAATGCAAAAAACAGCTGTGTATATTGGTATTTCTTTGTGGCCATTTCTGAGGTATTAATTGTTAAGTTCCAGGTTGTTCCTTCTCATTGTTGGTCAATGAATTTGTCTTTAGACTCCATGTATTGTCTCAGTCCAGAGTAGTTTTCTAAGTGCCTCTCTTTGACTTATATCTGGTATTCTATTATTTGCAAAGGAGTCTCCCACTTACAAGATATGACAAAATGAAGACTTCCAATATTCATCCCTAATAATAATAATCACTATTTCCTGAGCACCAGGCACAAGCATTTAAATGCTTTATAATCTTTACAACAGAACAATCTTGAGTCTACCCTCATATGAAAACTCTCCAGAGGCTAGTGAGGCTCGGCTGCATGTGGTTCCATGTCATACCTTAGGTGCAACAACCTAACTACACATCATTCTAGGTGAGGCTGAACTGTGGTTTGTTCAAAGATAGGCTCTATATTGCAAGAACCACCACTATCTCTAACCTGGAATACTGCCACAGCCTCTGCTAACAGGTTTTCCTATTTCTGTGCCTTCGTCCCCACTACGGTCCATTCTCAGTCAACAGAACAGCCAGTGTGATCCTTTTTAAAACTGAAGTTACAGCATCGTGCTCCTTTGATTAATATCGGTCACACTGACATCTAAAGACTTCACAGTGGCCAGCAAGGCCCTACGAGATCTACCCCTCACCCCATTACTGCCCTGACTTCCACTCCTAAACCAGCCTCCTTGCTAGTCCTTGCATCTTCCTGCCCTGCAGCCTTTGGTCTTGCTGATCGGTCTGCCTGGCACCTACTTCCCTCAGCTGTCCTCCTGGCAAAATCCCTCACCTCTTTGATGTCTGCTCAAATCTCCTTTTCCCAATGAGGTATATATACCCCGACCACCCCATTTAATTCTGTAACCGGCCTCCTCTTTACCCATTTGTTCTTTCTTCTTGGCCACAGCACCCGTCCCTCTAACATACTTTATCACTAATTTCTGCACTCATTATCTTTCTTCCTCTGTTCTATTATCATCAAAGGACAAAGACCCAAATCGTCCAAAGGTGACTTCAGGAACTTAAAAGGTTTTGTCTAGATTAGGGACTTTGCCAGCTTCCTGAAATAGGACTTTTGCCAGGTCTCAATTTCTCTAGGGACCAAACTCTCTGGAAGGCACAATAACCCAAAACTTGTGAATATATGAAGTTACATGGCAGAGGGCAATTAGGGTTACTAACCAGCCGATCTTAAAATAGAGATTACCCAGGGTTATCTAGTTGGATCCAACAAAAATCACAAGAGTCCTTAAAAATGAAAGAGGGAATCTGAAGAGATCCAGAGTGATTCAAAGCTAGAAAGATTTAACTGGCTGTGACTGGCTTTGAAGATGGAGGGAAGAAGCCACAAGCCAAGAACACAGGCAACCTCTAGAAGCTGAAAAAAGAAACAAATTCTTTCCTAGAATCTCTAGAAAAATCAAAGTTCTGCTAATATTTGATTTTAGGCCAGAAAGACCCATTTCACACTCGATTTCCAGAACTGTATATAATTGATGGTATATTTATGCCACTAAATGTATAGTAATTTGTCACACAGTAGTACTAGAAAACTATCTTCTTTCCCACTTTAGAAGGGCTGTAACTCTCCTTAGGTCCCACAGTCTCCAGCAGCTGAGGAGCAGGTTTTCTGACAAGTTAGTCTCTAAACAGCTGGCACCTAAATCCAGACTGTCTGGTATAAAATGGTCGGATTTTCCCCACATTATCAAGGTTGCTCTCACACCTGCCCTATAAAAAGGAAGAACAGTAAGGGGATGGGGGTGGATACACAACATGCACACGCAGCAGACTGCCTAGGCCCCAGCAGACTTTTATTTTGGATGGTGAAAGGATTAAGGACTTTTCTTGTTGACTTTGGACTATTTGATTCTTCCCTTTCCCCAGTAAAGCCTATCCCTTAACTGATGCTATGTATAAAATTGTGGAATTCATACTGAGAACTACTGCAAAACAACTGATGGCCCAGTAGGGACCTACCTTACAGGACAACTTAAGGATATTTGTTTACAGATGTATACAAAGTACTTAAAATGGTGCCTTACCCTTAGTTGGAATTCCATTAATATGTGTTGAAAAAATAAAAGCTATAAGTGCTATTACACATCAGATAAAATTGGCTCCAGATGCCTTCAAGGCTTAAGCATGAAAGGTAAAACTATAAAGCTAATAGAAGAAAATGGTGGGGATTTTTTTGCAATCTAGGATAGAAAAGATTTCTTGAATAAAATTACAAACACAAAAACTCCAAGGACAAAAACTGATGGATTTCATTACATAAAAATTAAGATTTATGTTCAACAGACAGGCTACAGAGTGGAAAAATATATTTCCAATATTCAAAAGTGACAAGGGAATAATAACTGGAATATTAGACAACAAATTCCTGCAAGTTGATAACCTCAAAAAAGTCAGGACATATTACAAAAGTAAAGCACAGGAAAAGGAAATTCACATGAAAGAAAAGTAAAACAGCCAAGGATATGAAGAAGTGCTCAAAATCAAATCACCCCCCAAAACGCAATTTAAAACAAATAACTATAACTCTATACCATGTGTGTTGATGTGTGTATGGAAAAAATTAGAAATTTGACTATAGAAGTGTTAGTAGGGATGTGAGGATGTAAAAATCCTCTGCTGCTAGTGATGGGGTACAGACAGGAGTGTAGCTATTTTGGAAAAAAAATCTAGCAGCACTTGCTCAAGTATGCCTGTATCTATGACTCAGCAATATTGCCCTTAGGTAAGCACTACAGGCATTTTCACACTGAATGATAGTAGGATGTTCAGGACAGCTTTGTTGGTGATAGCTGGAAGCTGAAACCAGTATGAGTTCCATGGTAAGAAAGCAGCACATGCTAGGAAACTTTAATAGCAGGTAGAAACAAAAAAAATAATGTATACACACACAATCATAAAAATTATTCCCTATAGGAAAAGGGAGAAACAGAATAAGGTTTAGAGAAGAACAACACTTAAAAAAGATTACTTATGGGTAATCTGTGTGGCTCAGTTGGTTGGGTGGCCGACTGTTGGTTTCCGCTCAGGTCATGATCTCAGGGTCCTGGGATCTAGCTTCACAGCGGGCTCTAGCTCAGTGAAGAGTCCGTGGATTCTCTCTCTCCTTCTGCCTGACTCCCTCCTCCCAACACCCAGGTCTTTCTCTAAAATAAATAAATCTTAAAAAAAAAAAAAGATCACTTATGTTTTATTTTCAGGCCTTAACTCATCATCCACTCTTACCTCCATTATTTACTTACTTATTATTTTTTAATTAAGTAGGCTCCACGCCCAACCTAAGGCCTGAACTCATGACCCTCAGATCAAGAGTCACACGCTCTTGGGGGGAAAAAAAAAAAAAGAGCCACACGCTCTACCAACTGAGCCAGCCAGGTGCCCCTCCATAGCCAATTTTAAAAAAGAAAAATTAGAAAACAAGTGAAATTTCTGGGAATTATGGAAAAATAGAAATGAGGAAGTGACCAGAAGCTGAGAAATGGCCCTACAGGCTTCTCAGCAGGGATAACCGTAGCTGGACTTAATACAAGCACTAAAACATGGAGTTGTTTAAAAGAAATTTATCCTGTGCTCTTCCAAAAAAAGTTACAGATTAGTTGCCCACAAGGTGCCCAATAAAGCAAAAAATGAGCCTTACACACTTTTGGAAAAAAAATCACGTTACTCACGGTCTCTGAATTCATCTTTCTCGTTCACTCTAAATCTAGTCTAGAGAAGCAGTGGAGAGGTTTGGGAAATTATCCAAAATCCAAATCTTTGATATCAGAGTGGGTCTTAGCTTTTTTTCTGGAACCAATTTTCCAGAATTCTATGTCAATACCTAAGAAAATGGAGCCTCTTCACCTAAGGGCTGCCCCCTGATGCCCTGCTTTCTCCTAGATTAAATCTAACTGGGGTTCAGAACACTTCACAAAATGCATACAAATTAACTAAAAATTCCTAGAAAGGCTAGTTTTCTTTAAAATACAGTATGTTTATAACATTCTCTTTTGAAGCCACAGACAAATTTGAGGACTGTATTTCTTCATTGGAATGCATTATTAGTTTACAGAAGTTAGGACAACTTTGCCCAATTAAGGAAAATATAGGATTCCTAAACATAAGTATAGTATGGGAGTACCTGCAAGACTGACAGCACATTTTCCCAAGATAAACACTTTTGAATATCACGAGAAATTAAAATACATTTTTGTTTTTAAAAATAAAATCAACAGTTAAGAAAAAATAAAGTACATACATCTGTGTGTGTAGAGAGAGTGAGAAAGCAAGTGTGGAGAAAGGTTAACACTTGGTGACCACCTCCCCCACCCCCCCACCCCCCGCCCGGGGAGGTTTTCACCATATAATTTGTTTTCCATGTGGATTTAAAGTTTTATAAATAAAAGTTGGAGAGAGATTTAACACAACAGTTTTAATTTAGGATCCAGCCTCCCCATGGTCTTATGATTCACCTCAATTTAACATTTAGCTCCTTATTTTGTTACTTCAACACTATATATCCCTCATGGCACGCATATATGCAATTCAGGTAAAAATGCCTTATGACCACCTAGTGTCAGAATATGTCTTTAAAAAAAAAAAAAAAGGTTGGAAAACCTGGATCAAAACTCCGAGACAGACAGATTTATTCCCCTAACGTTGCTCCTAAAGAGCTGACCAATTTCTTCTTAAGCTTAAGACAACACAGTACCTAGGAATGTTACCTCTGCCCAGCTCTTTGCTGCTGGGAACCTTTCTAAATCTTTGCTCCTCCCATGAGTCAGACCTGGAATTCCTGCTAGTAGAATTCGTTAGTGGAAAACTATTTATGAAGTGGACACTATTTCTAAATCACTACTCATCATCTTGCAAGGCAGTATTAGGCACTGTTCTCCTTGCTATTAACCTAATCAAACTAGGATCACTAAATACACTGCAAACACGCACAAACGATTTATCTTCCAGTACACAAAATACTAAAAATGTTGGCAAGCTACATTAACCCATCGTTCTCCCCTTCTCTTACTTCCTCGTTTCTAAAATAAACCCCTACTGACACCATATACATTAATAAATGGCTTTGATGCAACTGTGGGGCAGTTCTAGAAAGACTGAGATGGAGTGAGAGCGCAACGCTGAGTTGGCGAGGAGACTGGTTTTGCACATTCCTCTGAAATCCCGGGGGCGTCGGGATCTCATCCCGACAGCGGCAGCGGCAGACAGGCGAGGAGGGGACAGCAAGGGAAGGGAGCAGCGAAAGGTGACACGGGCGGCCCGGGGCCCGGGGGCGCGCGGTTTCCCAGGGCCCCGCGCCGCGCGCCCCTCCCCTCCGCTCCCCGCACTGCCTCACCCGCCCCTCCCCACCCGGCTCCCTCAAGTCTCCACGAACGGAAATGGGAGTCACAGCGCCGGGGACCAGCGGAAACAAAACACAGAGGCGGCCGCGGGGGGGCCGCTGTGGGTGAGAAGGCCCCGGAACGAGGCCGGCCCGCGCGGGCCCGCGCTCCCTTCCTCCCCCGCGGCCGCACTCACCCGCTCCGGAATCGGCCCCGTGGCCCCCACCCGCGCTCCAGAGCCGGCTAAGAACAGCAGGGGCGCGGGCTCCACGTGCAGCGTCTCTCCCAGTAAGACCCGCAGCTCCCGCGATTCGAAGTGTGAGGCCCCTGGGCCCTTCCCGCGGAATCGGCGCTGAGAAACTCCAACCCCCCCTCCCGCCTCCCAGGCACCCCCGGGTCCGGGACTACAACTCCCAGCAGGTTGCGCGAAACGAACGCCCGAGGCAACGGAGGCTCACGAGGCACACGAGAGCCCAACGCCCCAATCCGGCTTTGTTTTACACTCTGACTTTCCGGGCATAATCATACACCTGAACAACCCCAAAGAACAGGATATTGACTTGGGTCCGGGAGGATTGAACTAGGGAAAAGGCCAGTCAAAGTGCGCATGCGTACACATGAAAGCTTCCAGGAGGTAAAGAGACAGCCGGTCAAGTTAGGCGAAGGAAAGATGGCGGAGGCTTCGCCAAGGGACCCGGAAGCACTTACCCTCTACTTCCTCCTCCTGTTTAGCTTCTGTCTCACCTAGAGCCGTCCGGTCGTAGACCGCCTCCGAGACGTTTCCTGTCCGGTGAGTGTCGACCGACTGAAACGGCGGCCCATAATGCATTGCGATGGCGGGCGGGTGGGGGCGGAGCCAGGGCCGGAAGTAGAACGGTCGCGGCCGCGGAGGCTCTGGCAGCTCGGGACTGAGTGCAAGGTGACTGGGAGGGTAGCTAGGCTAGCTTGGCCTCTTGGGACTCAAGATTCTGGGTTTCTCATGGCGCCTGGGCTGCCTAGGACCTCTGTCCTTCAGGAGAACAGAGTAGCCCTCTGTCCCGGGCACCTTCACCGCCTGGCCCAGGGTCACTGTTGACCTCGCCGCTTTTAGGCCTTGAAGTTTGCGGTGGACTCGGTGTTCAGGCCTGGCAATACCTGCTCTTAGGGCAAACCTGGGTGGCACGGGAGGCAGGGAGACCAGGGATTCATGTCCCCGCGGCCCAGCTGGGGCAGCCCAAGGTCATTCCCTTAGGGCGGGTCTGCAGCCTGGCCTGCCCTATCGGGGCGCACGGGAGATTGTGCCCAACTGCTTAAGGCAGAATGAGGGAAATGGGTGATAGTAATCTTAAAAGTTTGCATTCCACCTAAAAATAGTGCAGCTTTGTTTTCCACTCATTTCGCAGCCCATCCTACACCTCAACGCCAAGAAACGAGATGTTGACTGGGGGCCAAGGGGGTGCTTGAACTAGGGGTGAGGCCAAAGTTCGCAGGCGGGACAAAACAGGGTTTCCAGGAGAAGAAAGAGAACGGGTCGTTTAGGCGGGTTGTGGATTGACCTCAGGAATATGCGCGGAAGAGGCGGCGAAAGGACTCATCTGTGGCTGGTCAGTCATCTCCGTTAACTGGAGAACCGTCCACCCTCTCAGCACGGGTTCTCTGCGCATGTGTACCCTTTCTTGCTGTTGGCTTCTCGTGGCACCCCATAGTACTTGATTAGAGAACTTAACCACACTTGGTATTTTACACCTAGTTGTGTAATAACGTATCTTCTGCGTGACAGTGGACTGATAGTCCTGTGTTAATCAGTGAAAAAACAAAAAAGGAATAAAAAAAAAAGGGAATAAAACAAAAGGGAATAAAAGAGAAGGAACAAGTTTTGATAGATTATGTGTTCATTTTTTAGACAAGTTGAATTTGAGGACTTATGAAGGGAAGAGACCTGTTGGTTGTATGGATTTGGGGTTCAGGGAAAAGGCCAAACTTAGAGACGTGATTTGGAAATCATTAATACTTAGATGATGATAGAGGGGTGGCTGGCTGGCTCAGTCGATTGAGCATGCAACTCTTCATCTCATGGTGGTGAGTTCAGGCCCCACGATGGGTGTAGAGCTTACTTAAAAAAAAAAGTAGATGATAGAAATTGAAAAAATGAAAATGGATTTTACCGAGTAGGAATAACACAATTTTTGCAAGAGTCGGAGCAAATTAACTCTGGGAATATGGGCAATGTAATAACTTTCCTTAGACATGGTTTTATTACCTATAAAGGAGGGATAAGAACACTTTCCTCTAATTATTAACAGTATTACCCTAATGGTACAAAGAGAGAATATATATGTCAGTGCTTTGCAAAGTATTTTGGGCTGAACAAATGTTAGGTGACCTTATTGGTTACTGTTAGCATGTCCTTAAGTTTCCAGAAGGGAAAATATACCTTGAGTAGCACAATTTTTAAAATAGGTCTGTGTCCAGATTCTACTGTGTAACCTTGGGCCACATACTTAATCTCTAAGCCTTAGTTTCTGTGTATGTAAAATGGGAATGAGAGTAAGTAGCACCTTAAGGTTATTTGTTGTTTGCTTGTAGTCTTCTCAAGTATATTTCTCTGTGAGGTGTAAGCGTGATATATGGTGAATTCTTTAATTTCTTTAGATAGCTTGCTTTCATCCTGGTAGGTGAAGGATATTTTGTTTATTATGGGAGTTCTTTTGGTAGTTTTTATTTAAATTCTAGTTAACATACAGTGCAATATTGGTTTCGGGAGTAGAATTCAGTGATTCATCACTTACATGCAATACCTAGTCCTCATCATAACAAGTGCCCTCCCCCATAACTATCATCCATCTAGCCCATCCCCCAACCCAACCTCCCTCCATCAACCCTCAAGTTTGTTCTCTTCTTTTGGTGGTTTTTATGTGCGGGTCCAGGGCTTCTCAACCTTAGCACTATTGACGTTTTGGACCCGATATTTCTGTGTTGTGGGAAGGCGGTTATTATTTTTGTGATTGTTATTATATCCCTGGCCTTTACCCACTAGGGGCAAGTAACATCCAAGTCAGGACAAGTCAGGACAACCAAAATGTCAAAAATGTCAACTATCTCTTGGGGGATACTGCCACCCCTACTCAAGAACCACTGTGCTACTCTACAGTCTTCTAACTTAGTGCTTCTCAAACTCTTAGTGGTAGAGGACCATTTTTCCCCCAACCCTTGCAGCTACTTTGGAAGAATACAATAAAAATGAGTTACTGGAAAAATCAGATGAAAGACAGTAGGGTGAAGACACACAAATACAAACTGATTTATTCAACAAATATATATTACTATGTCACATTGCTATAAAAGTTTCAGTAATGATTCGTATACCACTGCTGGTCCACAGACCACACTTTGAGCACTTTAACAGAAGTTCAGTGTCAGGATGACAATGATTATTATTAACAGGTAATTTTGGAACGCCATGGGAATCATGTTAGCGTGATTTTAGAAATTTTACCAAGCTATATAGGTGTGAATCTTTTATTCCCATCCAACGTAAGGTTGAGTAAACTCTGTTTAATAGACAGCATCTTTCTTAACCTGAGGGAAATTTCTTCTCTAATTACGGCTTCCTTGTCTACTCCTTTTCTTTGGGAATTCTTGTTTGCATGTATTGTAATTTGGCATTTTTTTTTGCATTTGATCTTTCACAATACTAAATGAGATCTCAACTGAGATTGTCTTCTGTTTTATCTGCTGAAGTGTTTTAGTTAGAAAATCATGTATTTTAGTTTTCGGAAGTCTAAGGACTTGGAGATCTTTAAGTCCTTATTTTTCATTGTTTTATTGATTAGGTTGTACCGCCTGATTCTCTCTTGTTGGTGGGCTCCCTTGGGCTGGTTCTTTTGGACTTAGATGTGGTTGTTAAACTATTCTTGAATGCCTGGAATCCTGCAGTTGTAACAGACAGCAGTTTCCCCTGCTGTGGGGCCTGTGAAGTAGAAACTTCCAGGCCATCAATCCTGGCTGAGGCACAGATTATCTCCAGTCTCTGCTCAGCTCCCTTTTGGCCTTTTGAGGGGGTCAGGGAAAACTGGCACGTTAATTTGGGGGCCAGTGTTCTTTTCTGCCTTGGATGGGCAGTTTTCTAACATCCTACCTCAACTATGCCATGTGGTCCAAGACTAAGTTTATGGAGAAGAAACACCTCATCCCGGATTTTTGCTTTCTTTCTGCATTTAACCCAGCGCACAGGCCTGATTTGTTCCTAACTGCTCCTAGGACCCAGGGCCTTTTGGTTAAGAAGCAAAAAACTTGCAGTGGTGAGGGGAAGGGAGCTCTGGTCCAGTGACTGACTGTTCTTGGCATTCAGTGAGTTCTGGTATGATTTATGATTGAGTTCTGTAGCAGTTAGTGGAGTTAGATTCCCACTATGTGATAGATGTAGAGGTGTTTTACAATTATATGTATTTTAAAGTATATTAACATTCTGGTGCTTGTTTTCAGTAACAGAATCACCATGATTCTTCAGAGGCTCTTCAGGTTCTCCTCTCTCATTCGGTCTGCAGTCTCAGTTCATTTGAGGAGGAACATTGGTGTTACAGCAGTGGCATTTAATAAGGAACTTGATCCTGTACAAAAACTCTTCGTGGACAAGATTAGAGAATACAGAACTAAGCGACAGTAAGTGGGTAGATAATCAACCATGGTGTAAATATAAATATTCAAAGTATATAAGTTTTGAGATGGGGGTAAAAATTACTTGGTGTTTCAAAGTGTCTGAGATCTTCACTGGGCAGATCCCTGGTATGGAGGTTCATTAGGTGCTCTAAAAGAAGATAAAAATCTTGATGTTAAGTCCCAAATTTTATTTTTCTTATATGGGTTCCAAGGGAGAATTCCATTAAATCTATTGTCATTTTAGATATATCGTTATTATAATGTCATTTATTATAAAGTGGAGTCAGTTCTTAGAAGCACATGGGATCTTGGAAATCATTTAGGAACTATATTTGAAAAAACTAAGTCCCTTAGACATTAATTAGCCCAAAGTCATAAAACTAATCAGAGGAAAAACATCAGAATATTCTAACTCTTAATTTAGTGGCCTTTCTATGACATCATGATTTGGGGGGGAATGTATTAACACAGCATTTTTTTTTCTTTCTTTCTTTTTTTTTTTTTTTTTTTAAAGATTTATTTATTTATTTATTTGACAGGGACACAATGAAAGAGGGAACACAAGCAGGGGGAGTGGGAGAGGGAGAAGCAGGCTTCCCGCTGAGCAGGGAGCCCGATGCGGGGCTCGATCCCAGGACCCTGGGATCATGACCCGAGCCGAAGGCAGACACTTAATGACTGAGCTACCCAGGCGCCCCCACAGCATTTTTTTCTTTAATGCTATTTGCATAGTTACATATTTTTGGGAAGATCAAAGGACAAAAGACAGAAATGGCATAAAGCAAGTCTGGGATAAACATGATTGCAGAACCACACAGTTTTGGAGATAAATGATGACCTTAGCCATGAAATTCAACCCCCAAATCTTAGGAAAAGTAACATACATCAGTTCGGTGTTCTGTTTTATTTAGTTGTCTAGCATGTGCAAAGCACTGGGTATTAACTGTGGTGGGCCACAGAAAGAAGCCATATTGCATTTCCATAATCTTGAAATCTGATAAGTATAGAAAGCTTACAGGTATGTATAAAGTAATGTATAAGGTAAAATGGATTAGAGCTGAGGTAGTGACACGAGTCAGTGCTTGGGGAGTTCGCAGGAAGGAATGCTCCTTTCTAGCTGGAGGCAGTTTGGAAGGTAGCTTGCGAGAGTGATTGTTTTTATCTTGGCTTTGAAAGCACTGTTTGGGGTCCTTTATCCCTTTTGAGAATATGGATAGCTATGGATTATCCTCTCAGTTTAAAAAAAGTGAAGAATTTACTCACATGATTTTGTTTATAGCTTGAAAGTGTTCTCAAACCCATGGAAGGCCATCAGTAGACATCCATACCTAGCGGTCTCCCTCAGGTTGTGAACAATTGGTGTGAAGTTCAGACAGATAAATGGGAGTGGGCGGAGGACATCTTCTAGGAGGAAAGAATGGTGTGAGCTAAGGCATGAGAACTTGAAACCACAAAGTATATTTGGGAAATTGTGTCATGCTGTTTCCCAGGACTGTAGGGTATACAGGGAGCGTAGGGAGCAGTAAGAACAGGAATGGGTTTGAAATGAGGGGCTTAGGAGAGGCCTTGATTATAGCGGGGCAATTAGGTGTCATATGATAGGAACTGATGAGGAATTAAAGGTTTCTGAGCAGGATGGTGGGAGTGGAACAAGATTAAGAGTACTCTATTAGGGTAATTTAATCACAGTATTACAACAATTGGAATAAGTAGAAAAGGAAGACAGACAGGGTAGGAAAATGTAATAATCCAAGTATTGGTTGATGAGAATCTTACTTTATAGCAGTGGGAATATAAAAGTTACAGTCAAGACATTGAGAGACTGAGAACTGGTCTTGGTTATCTGGTGGAGAGACAGAGGAGAGGGAACCGTTAAAGAACTCTGAGACTTTGAGACTGGGCAACTAACAGAAAGGTTTTGTCCTTCTCAAAAACTAAGGAAGGAGAGAGCAAAGGGATTAAAACGAAATTCTGACAACAATCTTACAGAGCTTATCCTCATTTTATATTTGAGAAAAACAAGGCTAAAAGTTTAGAATTTGTCTAAAATCACAATGTTCAGTAAGCAGATGAGCAGGGCTGTTTGGGGAATGTGAGTGTCTCCTGTCCAGAGGTATTTTAGTGTCTTAGTATTGATGCTGTTTGTACTTCAGCTATCCAGTAAGTCAATCCTCAGGTGAACTCTTCTTATTTTTTTTCAAAGTAAACTTTACACCCAACGTGGGGCTCAAACTCAGGACCCTCAAGAGTTGCATGCCCTACCCACTGAGACAGCCAGGTGTCTCTGAGGTGTACTCAGTCTAAGGAGCCTATGGTTCATTCATTTGTGCATATGGTGTGGAGAAGTGTTCTGCGCATGGATTCTGGCCTGGAATGCAGCTCTGACACTTACTAGTGCTGTGACCTTGGGCAGGTTATTTAACCTCTGTACCTTATTCATAGTAAAGTGGGGATGATAATAACAGCACTGTTTCATAGGATGTTATTAAAATTGAGTGATTCAACAAATTAGTTTAGAGTAAGTGCTGAATAAATCTTCAGTATGTTTTAAGTCAAATAAACAAGTATCTTTTGAGTGTCTCCTTTGTTCTGGTCACCATGCTAAGTTCTGGGGATGTAGTAAGATGGGCTGGGAGACAGTTGAGGAGATAGGTGATACCTTGCCTCTTTTTCAGAAGAGTACATATTAAAGTTAAAACAGCCATCATCTATCAGTAACCAGTATATTGGTCGGGGCGCATGGGTGGCTCAGATGGTTAAGCGTCTGCCTTCAGCTCAGGTCATGATCCCGGGGTCGTGGGATTGAGCCCCACATCGGGCTCCTGGCTCAGCAGGGAGCCTGCTTCTCCTCCTCCCTCTGCCTCTCTCCCTGCTCAGGCTCTGTCCTCTCTCTCTCTCTCTCACTGTATCTCTGTGTCGCAGATGAATAAAGAAAATCTTAAAAAAAAAAAAAAAAAAAAAGTAACCAGTATATTGGTGAGACTGGCTGGCTCCTCTCAAAGCAGTTTCTAAACTTGTGGTCCCAGAGCTGGAAGACAGTCATTAAAGTATCTGGTTGAAGGCTCTTATCTAGACCTGCAATGTCTGTTTCATTAGCTATTATCCACATGTGACTATTGAAATCTAATTATAATTAATTAAGTATGAATAAAAATTCAGTTCCTCAGTCACTTTAGTCACATTTCTAGTGTTCACTAGCCAGATTTTGCTAGTAGCTACCTTATGAGACAGTGTAGATAACAGAGCATGTTTGTCATTATAGAAGGTTCTATTGCATGGGCTGATCTAGAAGAAAATTGGGTCCATGACAACAAACATTAACAAGTTCTTAAATTAGAGTTGTTTCTGTATTTTTTGTGGAAATTCTGTAACATAAGTAAGGCCCTATACTTTTATCATAGTCATATGTGAAAATATTATTACCCTTCCTGGAATTCTCACTTAAAAAGTTTATTGTTCATTGGTAGGCAGGCAGTAACATAACAAACAGAATTTACGCAAAGAATTAGTTAGATCTCATTGGCCCCACTGCTGGTCTGTGATGCTATATTTATCTTCCCAAAGCACACCTCTAATGTTGTCATTTTATTCCTTAGTAAATAAAATACAAACTCCCAGACTTAACATTCCAGGCCTCCCATGACCTGGGTCCTGCTGGCTTTTCCATCTAGATGGCTTATGTTCTCCACATATAGCTAGATCTTTATTACCTCCATATCTTTGCTTTTTTAGTCTTAGAATGTATGAAATTAAAATCTGACCCAAATGAATGATTTGTCACATATGCCACCTTTTTAAGATGAAATTTTTCCCAATTAGCTCAGCAAAAGTGCGTTCTCTTCAGCTTGAGTAGCTGTTTGATAGTCTGTCTTTGAAGTTTATCAATAACTTTTCTTTTTAAAGATTTTATTTATTTATTTGGGGGAGAGAGAGGGAGAGGGGGAGAAAGCATGAGAGGGGAGAAGGTCAGAGGGAGAAGCAGACTCCCTGCTGACTAGGGAGCCTGATGCAGGACTCCATCCTGGGACTCCGGGATCATGACCTGAGCCGAAGGCAGTTGCTTAACCAACTGAGCCACCCACGTGCCCTGAAGTTTATCAATAACTCTTACAGCACAAATGTTTCTAAACATGTTATTTTTTTTCCTAAACAGCAAAATCTCTGAGGTAGGAAATTTTTTGCTGAGACCTTTTAGAAGCCATTTAGTGATGGCTGATTTAAATCAGGTAATAAAAAGAGAACACTTTTATTGACCACTATGTCATCTCACTATGTGCCAGGTCCTATATTAAGTAGTACATGTGCATTATCTCTCTAATTCTCATAACACCACCATTAGGTAGGACCTTTAGTTTTAGATGTGGAAACTAAAATTTTAGAGCACTTCATGCCTTGCTCCAGTTTATGCAGTTTTAATACATTATAGAGCTGATTCAAGCAGAAGCAGTCATTGACTCCAAGAGCCCATGGACTTAACCATCATATCTTACAGCAACTTAGACCTCAAGAGATTCTGACTTAATAAACATCCTTGATAATCCAAACCTTGCATGTTAGAAGTTTGAAGTTGCCTTGTTTATGTGAAACATCATAAAAAAAGTTTGAGTTGAAATTCAAATGGATAGGGTGCCTGGGTGGCTCAGTTGGTTAAGCGACTGCCTTCGGCTCAGGTCATGATCCTGGAGTCCCGGGATCGAGTCCCACATCGGGCTCCCTGCTCGGCAGGGAGTCTGCTTCTCCCTCTGACCCTCTTCCCTCTCGTGCTCTCCTCTATCTCTCATTCTCTCTCTCAAATAAATAAATAAAATCTTTAAAAAAAAAAAAAAGAAATTCAAATGGATATACTTTTTTTCAGAAAGAGTATTTGTCCCATGTGAATACTTTTAAAAGATCTATTGAAACTTGATGGTGAGAAGTAATTTTGTTTTTGTAAACTAGTGTACAAGATGAGTTTTTACCTGCTCGTTTACACAACAGGGCATCTGGAGGACCCGTTGATATTGGCCCAGAGTACCAGCAAGACCTAGAGAGGGAGGTTTTTAAGCTTAAGCAAATGTATGGTAAAGCAGACATGAATACGTTCCCGGACTTCAAATTTGAAGGTAAGTGTTTTTAATCATGGATTCAGTCTTGTGGGAGATTATTTTAAGTTGAGCATATTTCTACTTTATACTTACTTGGATTGTTCAGAGGATTAAATGACAATCACACGTAAATTTATTAGGACAGTGACGTTTGCATGAGAAGCTCTGGTATAAATGTTTGGCATTGGTATAGGAGATCATATAACAGGTTAAATGGTGGGGTTCTGAAATCAAACTCCCTGATCTTGAATCTTAACAAGATCACCTATGAAGTGTGATCTTGGATAGTTAACTGGTTAACTGGTGACTGTTTGTCACCTGATCTTTGGGGAGAATTATATCTTCTTTGTGGTGGTTGTAATTAAATGACATAATGTATGTGAGATCAGTTAATAGGGAGCCTGGTTTATAGTAAGTGCTGAATAAATCTTTAGCAATTGTTATGTTTCCATGTAGGAGTTTAAAAACAGTATTCACTAAAAAAAAATCAGGAGATTGATGAGTTAAATGTTAAAGCCTTCTATGTAATGCATTTTACTGCAATATGGCTAAGCCTGAACCTTTTTTTTTTCCTTTTCTTAGATCCTAAATTTGAAGTCATCGAAAAACCCCAGTCCTGAAGAAAGAATGTAAAATTTATTTGGTAACTTGTCCTAGATTAGTTGTACAACTGTATCAGAATAAACATACATTTCTCAGCTGTCAAGTGTTCTTTTAATTCTGATTCCAAATAAATTATTTGGTGATGTTGGGTGTACAGTTGAGTGTATTGAATTCTGTGTCTCGGCGTCATTTTTAAATCCTCCCATTGAGTTACAATGAATCAGGTGGAGACCTTGGATAAATTGGCTACAACTTGCCCATAACCGGCCAGACTCTAGTCTGTGCAGGGCTACCTTTTAGTCGTGGAGACTTCCTGAGGAGAGCCACTCTGACCTAAGGAATGTTTGCTGCAGAAGGATGTTACATCCGCTCCCAGAATATAAAGAAATGGCTTATAAACCTTTTATTATAACTTTTCCAGGAAACTCAAGTTAAGTTCGAACATAAACAGGAGCATCCATTGTGTTTTAACTACCATCTCCTCAAATACTAACTGCTTTTATCCTAATAGCCCGGGGCCCTCTCTTCCCTTGCAGTTTATGATCAGAGGCTAGTACTGTGCTCCACAGACAGCGGAAGGAAAGCTGAGAGTGGGGTGGGGGTTCTCCAAAGGAACTCCTTTGGAAGATGAAGCCGTATGGTGTGGTTTTGCCCAAGTGATGGAAGACCCAGCAAATAATGCACTGGATAGGTGACCTAACAGGCATGTCAAAATCTCAGTTACTGTAGATGGCTCATTTAGCTCATTTCAGAAGAATAGATTTTTACTGTGTTGTGCCAGTCTAGCTGAAATCAGACCCACTTAGGAATACCTTTTCCAAAAGACCTATAAACATTTCCTAATGATAATAGCTGTGATTAAACTAGTAAGATGTGCAGAATTGGAATTGGGGAAAGCAGTAGGAAGAAACAGCCCAGTTTCTTCAAATGATGCTAAGCAATGACAGTTCACTTCAACTACGTTTATTTAAATAATTGTAGATATTGAAACAGTTTGATGTTTGATTATGGTAAGGTAATTGAAGAAGTCTAGTTGCTCAGGTCTTTTCTCTAACTTCCACCGAAACAACACCCACCTGTGGCAGGCGAGGTGCCTTGGAGTCCATAGTGCAACTGCCCGTCTAGAGAAGGGCCTGACCCTTGTCAGCACACGCTTCACCTCCCTTATACTCCCCTCACTTCCCCACTTGGTTTAGTTATTTTACCTTTTATAATTTCACACCTACTTTCTCATACACTTTTTAAAAATCTGTCTTGCAACTATTTGGAGTTTGCTGGAACATCCCAGTCTCTTCATTCTGTAAACATAAGGATTCTGTTTGTGATTGACTATAAGAACACTGTGTTAAGTACCTTACTCCCCTGCCCTACATCATAGGGCTTTTATTACTAACTTCTGACCCGGAAAGTGCCTTTTTCTCCAGCTGGATGTGAAAGCCCTTATCTGCAGAGCCCCTTCCTCTCTGGTGAGGCTGCCACGACTCTGCAACTCCAGCCCTTCTCCGCCACTTTGGTTGGCCAGTGCACGCCTTATCCTGGACTTAACACCTTAGATGTTTGTCACAAACAACCTCAACCTTCTAGGCTTTAGTGCTGAAAATGGCTTTTCTCCCATGCCTGGTGTTACAGGTTGAATTGTGTTCCCCTAAAATTCATTTGCGGAAATCCTAAGCCCCAGGTTCTCACAATGTGGTTGTATTTGGGAATAGGACTTCTAAAGGGGATTAAGTAAAAATTGGGTCTTTAGGGTGGGCCTGAATCCAATCTGACTAGCATTCTTAAGAGGAAATCTGAGTTGAAAAGTACAGAGAACTGGAAAGGGACATAATGTCTGTTACTTACCTAGGGTTAGCTTTAATAATAAGCAAAGAGGGCTTCTGTTTCGGGCAATTCTTACTTAAATCCATCTAGTGTAGGATTTTTTGGTGTTAGCGATTACTAGTTCTTTGCTGCCCTTGCTGTAGTGGGCTTATAAATGCTGGCTGTCTCTGGTTAGGTGCTGTGTGCATAAGTTCTTGGGGGGCTCTGTGGACTAGGAAGTCTTCCCATTGCACAGATTACCCTAAGTGGGAGGTCCACTCCAACTCATCTCTTCCAAACTCCCCTCTGTTCCCATCCCAGTGGTGCAGTCTTGTTTCAGATGTTTTATCTCAGTAAGACACTGGCAAGAGCCTCAAGGCCCACTGCTTTCAATGATGCCTACTCACCATGAGAAATTCATACATCCTTGCCCTAAGAAATCATGGGAAAATAGGTGCTTCACCATTCCCCTGCTGTCTTCCTTAATATCTTTTTCCAATTCTTTCTCCCTGCTCAAATAGCTATTTCCTTCTTGGCAGCCACCTTCAGTTTTTGCAAGTGATTCTCTTCAAAATTCTCTAATTTTAAAGAATTTAAAATTCTTTAATTCTAATTGCCTTGGGGGATGAGTCAGGTAATAGAATGTACAATTTGGACAAATTCATTTTGTCTCACAGTTTGGACAATTCATTCTCTCTGTCTCCATTCCTTCCCACCCTCAATCCATCCATACACACTTTATAAGAGCTTGTGTGGTAGGGAAAAGGGAGAGGACCGGGGTAGCACCATGATCTTCGTGAACATCAAAGGGGGTATTTGTACCTTAGAAAATGTACTTGTCTTTGGCCTTCGGGCAACAGAAGATGTCCCAATCAACATTCTGTTAACATGAATGTACCATATCTTTATGTATAATACTTTTTCTCATGTTTTTGGCTATATGTTATCCTAAAATTTAGAAAAACCATTTTCTTGACCTATAGTAACTTTAGTATAATTTTTACTAGTTAAATATTTGGAAAGAAATTGAGTTTGAGAATGAAAAGTCACATGGGAAGGGCAGCTTGAGAAATCCAACCACAGATCTTAGGAAGCTTCAGTTTTTACACCGTCTTTAGGAATCACTCAGAGGTAGCACATTCAAAGTTAAAAACATTATGAGGTGGACCTTTAAGACCATCCACCCTCAATTTTAGAGAACTTAAACAAGTCCTTTGTTGACACAACTATTCACTTATTTTGAGAGCATTTTCTTAGTAGAAAGCATAAAGACTTTTTTTTTAAAGATTTTTTTTATTTATTTGACAGAGAGAGACACAGCGAGAGAGGGAACACAAGCAGGGGGAGTGGGAGAGGGAGAAGCAGGCTTCCCACCGAGCAGGGAGCCCGATGCGGGGCTCGATGCGGGGCTCGATGCGGGGCTCGATGCGGGGCTCGATGTGGGGCTCGATGTGGGCTCCATCCCAGGACCCCGGGATCATGACCTGAGCCGAAGGCAGACACTTAACGACTGAGCCACCCAGGCGCCCCAAGCATAAAGACATTTTATAGTCTAGTATGTCTTGGTACTTTTTTTAAAAACAATAAAAACAAATAAAAATACAGCATATTTTTAAAAGTCATAAACAAGAGTAAATAGAAAGTGTTAAACGAAATCCAACTGAAGAAATCTTAAAGACCTTAGTGGCTTTATTTGACAATTTATGAACCAGGGAGCATCCAGTCTAACAAATAGAAAAGTGCCCTGAAGAGCTATACAAAATGACTTTTATAGGCAGAAGGAGGTGGGACAAGGAAGTTACAAGCAGAGTGGATTGGCTGTGGCAAGGTCACCTTCCTTTAGGGGACCGGAGGGGTCTATGGGGCAGATTACCTCACTAGCCAGACCAGGCAATTCCAGATTGACTGGTTTTAGATGCCACTGCTGGGAGAGGTTGAAACTCTAGTTAAGTTTGGTATTAAAGTTTTGGTTTGATGATTTGGACTTAGCACAGATGTCTCCATTTTAGAGTATGTTGTCTCTCTTTTTTTTGGTTTATGCAACTTTATTGAAGAAAAATATATCGATTGCTAGCAGAGCTATTAGTTGATTACTCATCCATTGACAACTTGCCTCATCTATTCAGTGCTATATTAAACAGTGTATTGGAAGATAGATTAACTAATAGCTCCAAGCCTCCTAACAATTTAAATGAGAATTACAAAATGTTTGAGACCCTATTTTGGCATACAAAAGGTGTTTGACTTCCAATTTCCATTCTCTGTAGAACAAAAACAGGTCATTCCTTTATTGACATGCATAAAATACATCACATTTTCTGTTCTGCTGATGCTATAAATTCAATACCAATTCTCCAGCCACATCAGTTATGAGCATAAAATGTATCATGTAGGGCGCCTGGGTGGCTCAGTTGGTTAAGCGACTGCCTTCGGCTCAGGTCATGATCCTGGAGTCCTGGGATCCAGTCCCACATCGGGCTCCCTGCTCAGCAGGGAGTCTGCTTCTCCCTCTGACCCTCTTCCCTCTCGTGCCATCTCTCATTCTCTCTCTCTCAAATAAATAAATAAAATCTTTAAAAAAAATGTATCATGTAACCTCAAATCTCTAACAGTGGAAAGCTTAAAAAAAAGACTGGATGCTAGAATAATGCTGCTTCCTTTGATGTGACAACTGAGCATCCATCTCCCTCCCCCTCAGATGATTTCTTCAGCATTTTAGAGCAGTGAGGAATGGTTTTAGTCTCATAACCAAGTTAGAGTGAAGACATTGGCCACATAATACACATGCTCCATTTTTTAAAAAATTCTGAATCTTGGGCAACTGTTCTCTTGTAACTACTTTACAGTTTCTAAAAGCAGTTATTGTCCAAAGCTGGAAGAACTTAAGTCTTCTCAGATGAGCGTGTGATTGAATGAGGTAGGTAAACAAAAAATAAAATTAAAAAAGATGAGGTCTGATAGGGGAGCAGCCGGATAAGAAAATCAAAAAAAGGAACAGTAATTTAAAGTTTATTCCAGCTATAATGCAGGTTCTTCTGACTTTAAGGTAGCATCACATGGCATACTTCTGAGTACATTCCCGAGATATTCTGTTGTACTTATCTCTGTCTGTTTTATAGATCCGTGCAATCTCTGGCTATAGGGGGTCATCTGGGTTTGGATCACATAGCAATGAACAAATGGATAAAAGAACTTTAGAAATAGTTAAAGCAGGAGACCACTGTGATCTTAGAATATCGAGACAAATGCTGCCTTTACTGTCAATATTTGGATGATAACTTCTTGTTGTAAATGCAACCTTAGGTGGTTTGAAGGGCTAGTCTGTGGGAAAATGAATTGTCAAAAAGAATACACCGCCTTGATATGGCCTGTCATTAGGTCCCATAATTGTGGCTTGCCAATGAAACATGATCATCCCCAAATGGACCTGCAGACCATTGTGCTGGAGGGTCACGGGCCAAATCACTAAGTTCCTTATTAATCCGTTTCAGCGCCCTAGTCTGCTTTTCGTCTGGTTCCTCACTCTCTCGGTGTGTGCTCAAAGGTCCGGCCAAAACTCTTGATTATCCGGGCAGCAGGGAAGGATTGTCTCTTCCTCTCACACCGGCTCTGCCAGACACAGGCGCAGAGGGGCCAGGGCCTCCCTCAAGCTGCGGCCTCCTCCCTGCGCGGCAGCTGGTGCCTCCCCGGCCCCACGGGGCTCACGCGCCCGACACTAGAGTACGCTGTCTCTTTTTTAACAGTATCGTCAACAAATAAAAATGTACAGTTTACTTTGAATTTCCTGACCAGCTATTACTACTAAAAGTGTCCCAAACTCTTATAGAACAAAGGATGGAAAATTAGGATGGAAAACTGGAAACAAGAAACAAAGGATGGAAAATTAAATTTTAAAATTTGAAAGTTGGAAAAGTATCTTAAGATCTTTTTAAGAACTGCGTGGGAATGGATGCCTAATAACAAAGGAGCGGGAGAAGAGGGAAAGAGTTTCTGCCCAGCTTTAATTCATGGAGCAATAATTTGTGTCACTTTGCATAATAAATGAACTGGATTATAATAACATTGCAGAATACAATACTTTATTAATAATATAAATCTGTGGAGAAATTTTATCAATATTTTCTTAGTTGCCCTTTCACAAGTGCTCTTGGTTTTTAAAAATTCATTCAGCATTTATTAGATACCAACTACACATCAGATACTATTTAATACATGCATAGTGTATTATGAAATAAAAACCAATAATTGCCATTAAAAAATCAACCAAGTGCTATGGAGACTCAAAGAAGAAACTTCTTCCAGCGGGAGGAATGAGGGAAAGCCTCATAGAGAAGGTGAAATTTGAGCTGTCCCTTAAATAGTAAATAGATTTTACCAATTTTGTTGATCAGGAGAATCAGCATTCCAGGGGAGGAAAACATTGCGTTCTTGAAATAAAATGACCCTAGTTCAGTTTGACAGGTGCATAAGGCAAGCAAAGTAGAACAGTGGAACATTTGGCTAGATAGAAAGGTTGTGACAATAGGACGAGACGTGTATGTGAGGGGGCGGGGGAAGCCCTGAACTCCCGCCTAAGGAACTTAACCCCCACGGAAAAAAGCGGAAGATTTTTAGCAAGGGGAAGGGCGAAAAGGGAGAAGGGGACTGCTTGCTCTAGAAGTCCTGACTAAGAAGAGAGCGTATTTGAGGGAGGAAGGTCCCAGAAGATAAGGCTTGAGATAGTAACAAAGGCCTGAGTGAAAAGGATGACAGCAGTGACAGTCCCGGAATGAGCCAGCGCAGGGCGGAGTGATGAGTAAGGGGAGGTAGAAGCTGGGCAGATGTAGAGACAGGAATGGTAGGAGTGCTAGCATTTAAGTGTATTCATCATGGTTAGCTTCAACATTAAAAAAAATAAGAAGAAGATTAGAGATTTGGGCGTCCGTGGTGAGGGGAGAGTGGATGAGAACAGAACGGCCCACCACAGCACTGAGCCTGGGCTGTGCGGACAGGGAAGACGGAACAGTGTTACCAGCTGTGAGCCTACGGAGGGGTCCACTTGCCAGAGGTTACTAAGGGTGAAGGGGAGGTGTGGCACCAGAGGAGAACTTAAGAAGTTAAAAGGAATGTAAATTTAAATTTAAAAGGAGCTAAGTAAAACACCCAGTGTGAACATCCTGCATCACACGGACCTGGGTCTTGTAAACCGAGAGTCCTCATTTACCTCCCTGAACTTGGTGGACTGACGCTGAGTCTCAGATTCCTTGTCTGCCAGTGATGACATGACCAGCTTTATTTTTAAAAAATATATATTTACTTAAGCGAGAAAAAGAGAGCGCGCGCTAGGGGAGACGGGTGGAGAGACAGGAAGAGAGAGAATCTTGAGCAGGCTCCACGGGGCTCCATCTCACTCCCCTGAGATCACGACCTGAGCCGAAATCAAGAGTCAGGCGCTTAACTGAGGGAGCCACGCAGGTGCCTCGTGGTATATAATATCGTTGAGATGAATGAGATTGTATACACCCTCACCTCCGTCTGCCCCCGGCAGACATATATAAAATGTTCAATAGTTTTGACTTTTTCTTTGCAGAGCATTTTCGTCTGCATTTGAGAGGTTGGCAGGCATCCAGAGAAAGATGAGATTCTAATCTTAAGCAGCTAAAGAGCTAGCCTTGTAGCTACAGATGGTAGAGGGTGTAGTTTCCCGGGTTTTGCTGAACAATAGGTGGATGACTCTTGCCCTGCACCAGTTAAATGGGTCTAAAAAGTTGAACAAGTTTTTTTTGTTAATGTAGCCTTTAATCAAACAAAAGCACTCGTGAGATGAAGGAAGTTCTTTGCAAAGTTGTACTAAAACAATTGTTCCACATTTAGTTAGGTTAAACCTCCCACTAAAAATAAATTAAATCTAGTTACAAAAGCAACAATGATAATTAAAACAGAAGTTGCTATTAGAGATTTCAGAGCCCTAATCCTTATACAACACAACTTCACTGCAGGAAAATAAAATCAAAATGCTCTATGAATTATAATGAGGTTTTACCAATTGTTAATATTCAAGTCCCTCAAAAGCAAATGGAAAACACAAGTCCAGACACAAGTGGATATAATATTGAGCACAATATTATATTGTATCCTTTGTGTGGGAGAAGGTATTCTCCACACAACGATTTCTACTTAGCTACATACAATATATTAAGATAATGTATAATATATATTTAACTCAAAGAAAGTGTTATATGTTAATACTTTATAAGATGAATCCTCTAGCCAAGTGGATCAGAAGCTTTCATCTGTTAGTAAAGCTAAGGCACTATGTGTTTTTCCCCACAATATAGATTTGTGTCATTTAAATTGAAGAAATTGATCTTATGTGATGGTAGGTATGCCTGAGGAGCCATCTTTATTCTTCTTTTTTTTCTTTAAGTAGGCTCCAAGCCCAGCAAGGAACCCAATGCAGGGCCCGAATTCACAACCCTGAGATCAAGACCTGAGCTGAGATCAAGAGTCGGACACTTAACTAACTGAGCCACCCAGGCACCCACTGAAGGGCCAACTTCGAGACTCACATATACTCTTGACACTTGGCAATGCAAGAAGAAAGCATTCCTCATACCAAAGCAAATCAAAGCATGAGCAACATTTAGCTTAATTTTTGCAAAAGTTTATAGACAGGTGTTTTTCTCGTGCTTCACCACCAGGAGTTGAGAAACCATGTATAGGAGCCATATCCTGTCTGTGCCTGCTGTTTTTACAAATAAAGTTTTATTGGAACACAAACATGCCATTTGTTTATTATTGTCTATGCCTGCTTTTGTGCTGCAAAGGCAGAGTTGAGTAGTTGTAACAGGCCAGTATGGCTTAAAATATCTAGTATCTGGCCCTTTATAGAAAATGTTGGAAGGAGTCTGGTGAGAAGCACCCAGTGCCACAGACAAGTGGGGCACAAGGTATAGTCTGACAACAGGCATCTTCCCAGGGACCTGGTGTGGTGTCCAGGTACATGCTAGTGCTTAAGCCGTTTGTCCAGTAAATCCTGGGACTTGCTTTGTCTGAGGGGAAAAAAGAATGGACTCCTTTAAAAGCAGCTTAACCATGCTCAAAGTTGACAAATTTTGTGAGTAACCTTTTCATCCAGATTTGCCCAGAACTAGAAATCCCCTACCCATATTTTATCACCCATATTTTACATGAATTGAATAAGCACACTAAGTTATAGAAGATTATGCTTTTTTAACACAGTCTCATTGCTCTTACTATTACACGGATCATTAGAATTTTCACTCTGTAACCCTAGCTTGGACGCCGTTATGATTAATCAGTGGAGAAACCAGATGATGAGACCGATTTTTCATTTCAGCCAGTGTTTCTCCTGTGTCTTCTATGTATCAAGCAGGGCACAGGTGTAGGGCACAGTCCCTTCTCCTCTCTATATCCCCAGCTCTGCAATAAGCAGGATTGGCCAGCAAGGGACTCGGCCCAGCCCAGAATTTCACTGCATGGTTTTCAGAGAAAATTATTTGAAAATCGATATGAAGTTACCATCAGGCAGAGAAAGGTATCTGCAAGGTTATGTGTGGAGGGTCCAGTGATGAGTTCTGAGGTCAAGGTCCCTGATCCTCTTCAAAGGGGTCTTAGAGGAAGGAAAGAGCAAAAAACAACTCAAGTGAAATAAGACACTTGGGTTTGTGTTTGACTCTCAAAATTACGTTTAATGAAAAAAATCAATGACACACGCCAAGGGAGTGAGCTCTGGTCATTAGGTATTTTTCTTCATGTTGCTTTTGGTTCCCCAGAAATAAAAATAAACACAAAGTACAAATCCTTGGGAATAAGACCCACTCCTCCTACCTCCCTTCTGTGAATAGATTAGTGACAAATGAGCAGTGGAGTAAGGATTGTATTAGGGGAGAAAAGAGGATTCTGGTAGAAATGAGACTAGAGGTTCCTTTTTGCGTCTGTCAGTAGTTTCTGAACCCTCTAAATCAGACTCCTGCACAGAGGGTGCACACAGTTTGTATTTTCATGCTCTGTGGATTAATTTCACAATCAGTATCATATATTTTAGTAAGTTTCTCTAGGAGTTAGGACATTTAACATTTCATAAATCCCAGAATCTTACAAAGTTTTGTGATTCTTTTAACTTAGTCCAGAGGTAAGAAGCCAGACTGGATTTTATTTAGGTGCTGACAGAACTATTTGTTTAAAATAACAATTTCAAGTAATTTAATGATCATAAAAATTATCACGAAATACCAAATTCATCTCCTCATGTACCTCTTTGCAAGTGTAAGACAAAGCAGAGTTTTATAATCTTTTAATAACTTGTGTAACAACTGTGGTTTTGGTGTATCTCAAAGGTGGAATTCTTTTAAATTATAAAGGATTTTGTATGCTTGAAATCCTAGGAAAAGGAAAAAAACAAGTTTAAGTATAATGTATTAATTCATATTTAAAGAAATATATAAATTTTATCAGTATAAAGCTACGTGCACTATGAGAATTGGTAGGTAAAAACCAGCATATAGTTAACTAAATCTATTTTATGGGGAATTAAATAAATACTAGGAGACGAGGTCTCTGAAACTTTGCCTAAAGAGTAAAGAAGTCAGAGTGAGAATTAGAATGGGAGAAATCTTATCTGCTTGGTGTATGCTCCTGCTCGGCATCCTATCATGCACAGTACAGCTCCCCCAAAAGGAAACTACGCAAAATTCATATATAATGAACGTAAGAGTTCACTATGTAAGAATTCAAAAGGGAAATTACAATATAAGAATGATGAGAAATTGTCAATAATGCCAAGACTGAGAAATTGTGCTCTAGGGCAAAACCAGAATGGAAGGCTTGACCTCTCAGTGGATGAGAGCAACCAAGAGGAAGACAATGAAAAAATAAAAGGTTTCTGCTCTTCCGACTCAGCCGCAAAGTGTCTCCTACTGTTTGGAAGGATGAGATTACTTTGTTCCACATTTAAGGAGTGTTTTCTATAAATTGTAGGAACAAATATGACTGAGTCACACATTGCTTATCTGCTAATGAAAGAATTTAATACGACTGTGGTGCAGTAAACTACAAAATCAAATGACTTGTGAGAGATTCTGGAGTAGACAATTTAAAAAAAATCAAATTTTGACAGAAAAAAAGTCTATGGGACAATAAATGGGTCGTAAATTTAGTGTCCATTAGAGTCACTCAAGTGTTTAAAATACCAGTGTCCACTGCCTACCCCGAGCTTTACATAGGAAATCTAAGAGAATCCTTGCCACTGAGTGCCAAGGAGTTCAGAGAACCAGTGTTCCATTTCTCAAGAAAGGGCTTAGACCTCCAAAAACACTGGAAACCTTCCTCCCTTACCTCTCATATTCCTGAAAAAAATCCAGAAGGTTGAATATCCATCCAAAGAGCTACAAAATCTGAGCAACGATGGTATCTACTGCTTCACTGTAGTGTTCACAAATGCAAAAGTACACAAGGGTCCAAATTATGTTGCCTAAACCATCTGAATTGGATAATTATTGTATCCCTTCAGGGAGTTCTGAAATACTCCTTTCGGCAATAGCAGAGGAGGATATTCCATATTCCTAAATTTTCCAAGTTCTCTGAATAACCAAAGGAGAGTCCTGGAATCATAGATCTGGGGGAAGCCATCTGCTTGGGCAAGCTGACAGGAATCCAGGTGCCTGGATCCAGCCCCACAACTATGATCCTGTGAGAACTTGGATCTTAATTTTCTCATCTATGAAATGGAGCTGATAACACCAGACCTAATGATGCTAAGGAGGCTAATGATAGCAAACATCATGAGAAAAATAATGGTAGGCAAAGCCCCATTGCTCTACAAGTGCCAGGCAACTTTATCATACCATTCCAGGCAGAGGATGGAAGCTAACAGTCACTCACCTCCTTCTGAGGACCAGTCGTAGACTCTCGCACAAAGTATATTAAAAGTGAAAATCCATCACTTTCTGTACAATTATTTCATTTCCCCTGCCCTATTTCCTAAACACATCTGATCTATAAATATGCTTTAAAAATACTCACATTTTCATTCATTGTGGTGGCTTTAGATGCAGAACTACTCTTCCTGTTTGTGGAATATAAAAGACAATATTAAAACATGCCAGCAAGCCTAACTGAATTTCTTATATTTATAGACAATATTCCACAGAGAAAGCCACATAACAAAGTATCAGCCTGTGAAGCCCTATGTATCTCATTGTAGCCTGGGGCTAAAGATTTCTCTGGGATGTGCAAACAGAGACTTGCTTTTCACTTAGCAATTTTTTAACATTTAGCACTTTGAAAACTTGAGCACTATAATCAAAATTCATTTTTTTTCCCCACGGAAAGAAAGTTTTACATGGTAACTAAGGTTCTAGTCATCTGTTACAGACTGAACTGTGTCTTCCTTAACAACTCATGCTAAAGTTCCAACCACCAATACCTCAAAATGTGACCGTATTTGGAGATAAGGTCTTTAAATTAAATTAAAATGAGGTCATTAGGTGGACCCCAATCCAATATGACTGCTGGCCTTATAAGGAAGAGTAAATGTGGACACAGACACAGGCATTGGGAAGACAATGTGAAAGCAGAGAGAAGATCATGTACAAGCCAAGCAAAGAGAGGCTTGGAACAGATCTTCCCTCCCAGCCCTCAGAAGGAACCAACCCTGCTGTCATCTTGATCTGGACTTGCAGCCTCCAGAACTGTAAGAAAATGAATTTCTGTTTAAGCTACTCATCTGTGGCACTTTGTGACCGCAGTCCTAGCAAATTAATATAACACCCAATTCATTATCTAACAAATTTTAAGGGCCATGGATTTGACAAATGGCAGGAGATGTGTCTAGGAGTAAAGATACTGCCTCCCAGATTCCTACCTACCTAAGAGACAATGTGATTAAAGAAAAGAATAATCTTCCCCATGGTAGTGATGCTCTCTTCTGCTCAAAACCCTCCAATTACTTTCCATCTTCCTCAATAAAAGTGGAAGTCCTCACAATTGCCTGGGGTGGGATGTGGGATAGCTATGCCATCAGGCAACCCTGTTTTCTGAACTCTCCCCCTTTGCTACTGCCAGTCCTGATAACTTGGAGCTCATTTTGGACTTGTACTGGGATAGGATTAGACTGAGCGACCAGGGTTGAGCAGGAAGTCTAGGAACAGGAAATCAATGGCAGCTAAGGCCGCTGAGAGTAGAAAGGAATGCCCATTGCCCCGCGTTGGGTCTGCCATTTCTATGTACACCGGAAGCACAGTCACAAATCAAGTGCACATAAACTTGGTGATCTCATACACCAATGATTCCTAAATTGCTAATCCTAGTTATTTCTCCAAGTTCCATGTTTATATATCTTGGTTATCTACTAAACTTGGTGATCTCATGCACCAATGATTCCTAAATTGCTAATCCTAGTTACTTCTCCAAGCCCCACGTTTATATATGTTGTTATCTACTAATTATCTCTACTTGGAAGCCTAATTGGCGTCTCAAATATTAAAATTCCCAAATTTTCCAGACCTTCCCTCCTAATGCTCCCAAACCTGCTCCTCCCAAAGTCTTAAACATTTCAGTAATTGGTAACATCTTTCTTCCCATAGCCATGGAGCTCTCTTTGATTTTTCTCTTTTTCTCCCACATCCACATCCAACCAATCAGTAACTTGTTCAAAATGTATCCAGAATCCTATCACTTCACATCTCCAACACCATCACTTTGGAACCAGCCACCATTTTCTCTTGGCTGGATAATTACTGAGTAGTTTCCTAACTGGTCTCCCTGCTTCCTCCACTCTGCTACCTTATAGTTGGTTCTTAACAGAGCAGTGAATGTGAGCATCTAAGAATTAAGTAACAGGATATTACTCCCTGACTCAAAGTCTTCCAATGACTTCCCATCTTACTCAGAATCAAAGTCAAACTCCTCACCACTGCCTAGAAGGTGCTCCATGTAATCTGGCCTCCACTACTTTTGTGCACTCTTCCCTTCTCTCCATTGTCCTCACTCCGTTTCAGCCACACCAAATCCCCTCAACGTGCCTCAGATACTTACTCCAGGTGTGCCTGGCCTCTAGACCTTTCCATCTGTTCTTTCTCTTCTGCTTGAACGCTCTTCTCATGAGTATCTGCCTAATTTGCTCTTTCTGCTCCTTCAGGTCCTTCTCAAACATCACTGTGAATGAACCACCTAACCACCCTAAAGGACAATCTCCATTCCTACCCTGTGCATTCTCTATTCTCTTACCCACTTTAGTTTTCTCCACAATACTTATCACAGTCTGACATACTGTAGAGTTTACCTAAGTGTTTTTACTTTCCACCTTTCTCTATATAAGCTCCATGAGGCAGAGAGTTGTGTGGCCTGTTTTGTTCACTGTTGTACTGCCACTCTCTAGGAGGTGTTGGGCACAAAGTAAGTATTCAATTCAATGTGAAAATGGCTGTTCAGTAAAATTTTATTTGAAAATTTTTAATTTAGCAAAACACAACAAATATATTTTTTAAAGTAGTACTATGGAAGTGCCTACAGTGTCAAATTAGTGACTATATGTCTTCTCTAGGTAATTAAACAACATTGACAGGCATGAGGAATGAAGTGGGATGTATTTCTTGATGAATCTGAGTCATTTCCCATAGGATAAAACCTTCACAAATAACCCAACTTTCCATGTTTGACTTTAAACAGATGATTAACAGAAAATTAGCTAAGGTGGGGGAAAGGCATGCATTTAAGAAAAGTATACTTACTGGAACGAGGTCTCTTCTACAAAAGAATAAGTATATATCATTAATGCAAGAGTTAATACGGTATGATACATATTCATATAAAAGCAAGTGTAGGCTTAATTTCTTTTACTCAGTCTTGTTTCTCTCTTGGTGACATTTGTACTTCCTAAATCAAGGGTTGGCAAACTTTTTTCTGTAAAGAGCCACAAGGCAAATATTTAGGCTTTGTCTGGGCCAAGAGGTAGAATTGAGGATATTAAGTAGGTACTTATATAATAAGAGAGACCAAGTTTCCAAAAATTTTTATTAATAAAATTCAAAATATAATAATAATAATCAAAGCCTTTAGTATAGGTCTATTAATTAGAAAAAGAGAATTCTTTTGTTGACAGGGAGATAACATTTCTCTTAATTGGGATTCAAAGTTAGTGTTCCTTATTATCAAACAGATTGTAAATGTTCATTTGTAAAAACCATTCTTAGCTTGTGGGCCACAGAAAAACAGGTGGCAGGCTGGATTTGGTCCACTGGTCATAGTTTGCCAACTCCTGTCTGAAATCAAGTTCAAGAAAATGAATCCCCTTGGATAGATTTTCTGCCAGCTGAGGATGGGAGTAATATTCTTCACTAATGAGTTCCTAATACCCAAGCCAACTCTTTAATTAATTCAGTATTTTAAGAAAAATGTGTTTACCAAGTTTCTGATAAAAATACTCAGATACTCTTTGCAAGTAGAGATAAGGATGACAAGAATTTTGCAGGAGTAATCTTATCTGTCTGTACTTTCACTAGTGACCAGCAGGGGGCCTCAGCTGGATTCCATTCATAAAGTTACATTTACACTAGACTAAGATTGGAGCACCAAGGAAAAGAGCTATTAATTCACAGAGCAGCTATTCTTAATTATAGCGAATATTACTGAAACAATGCCATGGAAACATTTTATGACACTGAATATCTATTTATAGGTTAAGTTTTATGTTAGTATGTTTTTTTAAACCTAAATTCTAAAATTAATGTTCACTGTAAAACAATGGGTCTAAAACTTGCTTATGCTATAAATTGATTTACTATTGTATGAAAACATTCTGCTTTGTACATTATTCCCAATGGACTCGATGTAGTTCTGCAGCTTTTGAGCTCTCAGATGATTTTAAAGACTGGGAGTAAAGAAATACACTAAGAGAATAAAACATCATTATTTTTCATCTCATTCATAACAAATGTATTTTATCATCAAATGGGGGTTTGGAGTTATAAGAGGTCTAAACTCAAAGAATTAAAAACTTTGTCCAGAAGCAACTGTAATACTACAGGTTTCTAGTTTATATTGAACAATCCTATATACAGTTGTGCTAAAGTTGACATTCAACATTCCACTGTTTTACACTGATAAAATGTTCCACTGATTTATTTCAATGAGACTTATGATAAAACTGGAAATCAATTTACATCTTGAGATATATAATTCCTAACTTAAAGGGCCCTTAAATACATGCCAATATACTATAAATATCCATGTACGTTGACTATCCATCAGTATCACCCCATTATGCCATCCCAAGGTGCCTCCCACATAGTCTGTGGTGTTTCCTGAATGTTGACATGAGGAAACTCTGCCTTTTCTCCCTCTGTTTGCCAAGGTGCTTCATAACTCACCTACATGTCACTTGGGACATTTTCTACTGCAGAAAAAGCAAGGAAAAATACTCTAGAGTTTGTTAGAGCTAATTAGGAGAAACAAGGTCTCATAAGAAAACTCTACATCCACAGGAAGTTGTCCAGTGAAGAAGAGTGAAACTCACTTACTTGAAAAGTAGCCTTTCCTCTGAGCATAGCACACGCCAAGGCCACAAACAGAAACCACTAAGGCCACAACCACTACAGCTGCTATGATACCACTCACGTTGAGATCATCTGGAATGCAAAATAAACCAGGCATGAATTTGGGCCAAAGAGATGGACAGATGTAGTTATTAAATTGAAAAATTCAAATAAGCTCCCCTTGGCAGCTATACCATAAACATGGATAGTTTCATGCTGCTGAAGCCTGTTCAACTGATTCATTCCAGGACAAGGTTCAAAATCGATTGAAAATATTAACAGACTTAAGTTTTGCAAGAATCTTAAATTGAAAGAAGTTCCATGATTCAGAAATAACGTGTATGGTATTCTCTTGCATTCACTTGGGAAGATAATACCTCAAAGGATTAAATATCATGATCTTCAAAGTTCAGTGAGGTCAAGTATTCAACTTACACACACCCCCAATTCTACTCAAAATTCTTCTACACCATCATCTGTGTCAATTTTACCAATAATGGAAAACTCATTCAGCCCCAAAGAAAGCCATGCCACTCTTGTTCTATAAGATAAGAGTTGGAAACATCTTTCTTGAATTTAATTGGGCTTGTGTGTGTGTACTTACATACACATACCCACTCACATACATATATGCCATTAAACTGTCATCCCATTAAGTTTAAAATTAACTAAACTCCCCAAGACTTTTTCCTGTTGCTATCAAGTCATCTTTCCTCTAACCTAATACAACTGGATTTTTTGGACCCACATTTGAAATCACTACCATGTGACCAACCTGCAAGGTTTTCTCAGATACTGATTCTGTTGTCCAAGAATTAGATTATGAATCTTCCAAGATCAATATTTATGTAGTTGGAAACAGCATCAAAAATATCCTCATTCAAAGCATTAATTAAAATGATGACTATGACTTTGTTAGGGAAAGAACTATGGAACAGGCTATTATACACCTCCCTTCATATAATAGAATTTATTACACCCTCTGGGTATGGGATCCAACTGTGTGAATCCATCCATCTAAATATTTAACCTGGGTCACATTTCTCCAGCTTGTCCTTCAGGATTTCATGAGCCACACCCTTCTGTCATTTGGATACTTCCTATGTATTGATTAATATATAAATTACCTATACTTTTTAAAGGAACAATTCCTCAAAGGGTTCTTGTTTTTTTTTAATTTTATTTTATTATGTTATGTTAGTCACCATACATTACATCATTAGTTTTTGATGTAGTGTTCCATGATTCATTGTTTGTGTGTAACACCCAGTGCTCCATGCAGTACGTGCCCTCTTTAATACCCGTCACCAGGCTAACCCATCCCCCCACCCCTCTCCCCTCTAAAACCCTCATTTTGTTGCTCGGAGTCCATAGTCTCTCATAGTTCATCTCCCCCTCTAACTTCTCCCCCTTCATTTTTCCCTTCCTACTACCTCTCTTTTTTTTTTTTTTAACATATGATATATTATTTGTTTCAGAGGTACTGGTCTGTGATTCATCAGTCTTACACAATTCACAGCGCTCACCATAGCACATACCCTCCCCGATGTCCATCACCCAGCCACCCCATCCCTCCCACCCCCCACCACTCCAGCAACCCTCAGTTTGTGTCCCGAGATTAAGAGTCTCTTGTGGTTTGCCTCCCTCTCTGGTTTCATCTTGTTTCATTTTTCCCTCCCTTCCCCTGTGATCCTCTGTCTTGTTTCTCAAATTCCTCATATCAGTGAGATCATATGATACGTGTCTTTCTCTGATTGGTTTATTTCGCTTAGCATAATAAAAGGGTTCTTGTTTTTAAAAGCAAGTATTAATTAATGTGTGATTAATTTGGAGAAAATATTAGGTAGCACTTTCTCAACAGTAATTTTAGGTATTTAAAAGCACTGCACATTTTGGGAAAGATTTTTTTTTAAGAAATATTATTTAAGTGAGTATGCTTATCATAAAACTTTGTGGTCTCAAAATTTTTTTTCTAATGCCAAGGGTTATTAATTTTCTCATAAATCTGAAATATTAATTGATTTTTTTACAAAAGAAAATTGAATACCTCTTTTGGAAGGCTGAGCAATTTGACCAGAGTAGAAAACATTAATTATTGCTTGGCATAAACTCGGTTCAGTTTTAGGGGCACCTGGCTGGCTCAGTCAGTTAGAGCGCGTGACTCTTGATCTCAAGGTTGTAAATTCAGGCCCCACATTGGGTATAGATTTTACTTAAAAGTAAAATCTTAAAAACAAACAAACAACAAAAAAAATTCAGTTCATTTTTGCTTAAGCATTGAGAGGTCATTGAGATCCAGCTATTTATTTACTTAAAAAAATAGTGGACAGGGGAAAAAAGGCCATAATATTCTTCATAATCTAAAGCAAAATGGAGTTAATAGGGAAAAATCTAAAACAATCATAATCTAAGGCAAAATTAAGTTAATAATTACAGAACCAAACTGTACCTACTATTTTCTTTGTAGTAGTCATCTGTGAAGGTTTCAATCTTAGGGCTATTATTGGACAAAAATCTGTCCCATAGTTTGTCAATGAACTTGACATCTATGAAGGATTCAACCTAAAGGCAGATTCTAATAAAAAAACTGTCCTATCCTGTAAGTTATGGTATAAATTTTATTTTACTTTTTTTCAGTGAAATGGAAGAAGCCTTGTAAGTTAGAGCTGAGTTGTTTTCATGCTATTTGCCATTGACTGTGAGTTACTGAGTAAGTTCTATAACTGCCTTATGCCACACTAAAGAGAAAATGTAACAACATGTACAAAAATATTTTTTTATTTGAAAAAAAAGGGGCACTATAAAAGGAAGGTATCATTATTCTAACTGAAAGGAAAGGAACCAAACTGTTAAAATGCTAAGTATGAGTGGGGTCTCCTGGGAGTTTTACAGTGGGCAGCTTGGGAATAATCATCAGATCCATGACTGACTTTCTTTCTATACTTCAAAAAGAGCTTCTTTAGAACAGATTCTGGTTTGGGTTATAAGTTATTGGTGCTAACTCACGAAGGAAACTTGACATGCGATTTCATGAATTCTTATGTATCAAAAGATATAAATCTCAACCCAAGGGCATGAAACATCTAAGATCAATGGATGAGCATTGAATGAACGAATTTTAACTTTTAAGCCAACTTATACAGAAAGAGTAGATACGTGAAAATAGTGATCAAATTAAAGTGGTAAGACTAGCAAAGCACAAAGTATTAAATTTTAACTGTTCTTTATTTACTGCATGCTTGGAAAAAATGTAACTAGTATGTTAAGACCATGACATCACAGATATCATTTCTTGAGATGAGGCTAAATTAGGCATTGAAATTAAATGGGACCCTTTAAAGAAAGAATAAATAGTGCAGGTGGTATAAGGTTACAGTAAAAGAACATGAGGGTAGTATGTGAATGAATGAATGAAGTTAGGAAAACCCTGTATCAATGCATTAATTTTAAACATGTTCTGATGAATTTTTCTAATAACTCCAAAGGAGCACTAAGAGGGATACCTTCTGGTATTTTAAGCAAACGCTTATGTTTGACTATAACTATCAACACTTGAGTGAATTGGGTGGATAATATGTATCCCTGAATTTTAAAAAGACACTTGTGGAAATTAGAATACACTACTGAATATCTTACATTTTAGAGCATTCTGAGGTCTAATAAGATTATATTTTACTTAAAAAATAATGCCAAGAGTTTAACTGTACATGAACAGCACAAATTAGTGTGCATAGATCTGCATATCTCTGAGCACATTGAAACCATGAATTTCTGACCTAACAAAGATGAGGACAAGCTCCTGAACCAAGGGGGGCCGTGGGTATTCTGCTTCAGGTTGCAGCCTTCCTGAGTGACTTTTAACCCCACAGGTGCCATCTCCAGCTGGCCCTATTACACAGTCTTTTTCAAAACACAGGGCTTTCACAAAGGGAGAATTGAACCAAATTATTAAAAACGAAATGAAAAAAACATGTTTGCTCTGAAACTCATATAATCTGAAAAGATTCCTGAGTCTGCTTTTATTGACTTCTAGGAAGCTTATTTTGTGAAATATATGGCAGCTATGTTTTATAGCAAATAGAGATTCATAACTACATTTGACATGTCTTTTTTGAGAGCCCACTCTGGGATAAGTAAAGCACTGTATTTTAGGGGATTGAAAAAATTATCAATGACTAAAATAGCCAACTCTTGAAAGTGTTCACAATATGCCAGTGCTATTCTAACACTTTCAAATATCAATTATTTTTTCTTCCTTTTTTTTTGGAAAACTTATCCCTTTGGGCCAGTGATAGGTCCGTTTCTTTTTTCTTTTAAATTATTTTTTCTTTTTGTTAAGTAAGCTCTACTCCCAATGTGGGACTTGAACTCACGACTCCCGCGATTGAGTCACATGCTCTACTGATTGAGCCATAGCCCAATAAAGATAGCATATTACTACTTCTATTTTGAGGAGACTGAGGTTAAATAACTGGCCCAAGAATATGTAGCTAGTAAGTGACAGAGCTGGAAATTGAACTCCATACCAAATCCTTGACCCTGAGCAATTTACAAGACTCTTAGCTTCTGTTTGAAAGAAGATTGCCCAGACAAGCATATTTTTAAAACAATGATTTGAAAAATTCAAAAACTTGAAAAGTAGAGTGCTAAATATTCTTGGCTTGTTTGGGACATGGACTAAGAACAGCATGTTTGCTTTTTACAACACATTATGTCAAGCTAATTTTAAACATTCCCTCTGGTTTATTCTTCCAATCACTCAGGCACAATCCTACCCCTTGCTCCTTCCCGTCCCCAAGTACATGCGCGCTCTGACCGCAAACCATTGTTCCTCCCAATATTTCATGCTTACCGACTTGCATTCGTTTCCCGGGACACCTGCGATGTCCAACAGAATTACGGGCTTCACAGGAATATTCTCCACTGTCTAGTTTTGAAACAGTGTTAAATTGCTATTTGTGGAAGGAAAATAAATATATATTTTAAGCCATAAATCTGTAAGTAGATCCTCAAGTAACCATGTCTCTTGATTTTTAGTATTAAGTTGGTCTCTCCTTTTTCATGACTTAGGACTTGATGTCTTTACTGTGAATTCAAAACTTTGCCATGCCTTCAAGGGGTAGGCTTGGCTTCCTGTTTATTTTGACAGAGAAAGACTTAAATATGTATGGGGAAGTGTCTTTGTTCTGTGCTACTGAGGAAGTGGTATGGTTAGGAAGGTGATGGGCATTTTAAAGTTTACAGCACATGGTAGTATTAAAGTTTTGTCAGTATTTCTAATTCCCAGGAAACACCATTTGTAAAGGAAGGCCTCCTTGGCCTGAAAGGGCTAATGCAGTTTTCTCAGCCACAAGTGAGTTCATTACAGCAGGAAATGATGAAGACTTCCTCGAGAGGGTCAGAGCTATTACCAGGAAGTAGCAGAGGGTCGAGGAAAATCTTAATCAGTTTAGCTTATAGGATTAAAAATTCTATCAGTTGTGGAATTTTTGAAAATTCTGAAAGGATAAAGGTCTAACCTTTGCTCCTTCTACTCTCTGCCAAAACAACTGAAAGGTAAGACTTTGGTGTAACAGGCTTCATAAGTGTTATTAGTGGATTTATCCCCTTGGTGAATTTCTGGAAGGAAGGGAGGGAGGGAAGAAGGAAGGAAGGCAGGAGGGAGGGAAGGAAGGAAGGAAGGAAGGAAGGAAGGAAGGAAGGAAGGAAGGAAGGAAGGAAGAGAGGAAGGAAGGAAGCAAAGATGGATGGATGGCTGGATGAATGGATGGATGGATGGATGGATGGATGGATGGAAGGAAGGGAAGGGAGGGAGAGAGGAAGTTAGTTAGGAGAGAGGCAGGGACAGAGGGGATGCAGTGGGTCATGAATGCCTTAAAGGATCCTGCCAGGACCAGCACAGAGGGAGAGAGGGGTGCCCAGAATCATGCTTTTGGTGCCCTCCTGTCACACCCTCAATACTGCCATGGTCACCATTGACCGCAGCCGTGACAGCCATGAATCTCTAAAGAGCACCCCCTCATTGTCTTGGATCCTCAGGCAATACATGTTCCTAAAAGCAGCCAGGTTTTGATCTACTAACTCCCTTTCCTTTCTCACTTGTCATTACCCACTACCTACATCCCCCTTCTTTCTGTATACTTTACCATGATGGGACAGAAAGTTTCCCCTCGTGTATTTCACTTTATGAAATCCTCTCTCACTGTCCCAAAAGCCAGACTATAAAAATATTCACCAGGAATGAAGGCCAAGGGTAAGTATTAACGGTAAGTTAGACTAAAACCATAAATGATCTACTAGGACATAACTGGTAATTAAAAGGAAGTCATTGTCATCCATACACTGGAGTCTTTGTTGCCTATTTCTCAGGAAAGAACCCACCCTTGTTCTGCCCTGGTGCATCCCTTTGACATCATAAGATATTTCAAGGGTTGTGGCTAAGTGGGGAAAGTGCATCTATATCAAACTTGCCTTGGGGCTTTTATCACCTACTCTGAGAAAAAATAAATTTGAAAAGTAAATATAGCAATGTGTGACGGCAGTTTTTCTGCCCAAGTTCTCAGTGTAAAATCTATCGGACCTGCTGACTGAGCCTGCTGGTGCTGCAAGGGCGGAAGTGTGGTCCTCCTCAAGGAGCCACATCCAGGGGCGCCTGGGTGGCTCAGTCAGTTAAGCATCTGCCTTCGGCTCAGGTCATGATCCCAGGGCCCTGGGATCGGGCCCCACATCGGGCTCTCTGCTCAGAGGGGAGTCTGCTTCTCCCTCTCCCACTCCCCCTGCTTGTGTTCCCTCTCTCACTGTGTCTCTGTCAAATAAATAAATAAATAATCTTAAAAAAAAACTCTAAAAAAAGAAAAAAACTTAAAAAAAAGGAGCCACATCCACCGATATGCTTTATGATTTAGCCACTTTATCAAATATGCTTTATTATTAACCAGAGGGTCTAGTTTTTAAATGTTATTGTATACTAGTAGAGTGAAAGAATGAATCTTTTAAAAATTTATTAAAATTATTATTATTAGTTCTCTATATTGTCTTCCCATCTCTGGTAGTACCTTTTCCATCACTTCCCTGGGCAGGGACAACCATCTTTCCCACTGCCCCTTCCTCTCTCCACGTAAGAAATGGTATCAGCCCTCTCTTCTCCATGATTTTAGTTCTAATAATTTTTCTTCTCCAAATATAAGACAACTATGAGACCAACGCTTGAAATGACCTTACCAGAGTTCCAGATTTTGTATTCATTGTATAGGAGCTGTTGGCACTTTGGGAGCCAAGTTTTGGATTCTCTGACAAAGGGACGCCATCTTTAAACCATGTGTACTCAGGAGCGGGATTCCCTTCTTTGTCTTGACATCGCAGCTCTACCACAGTTCCACTCAGAGCAGAATTGGGTACTTGACAGGTTGGAACTGCTGGGGCCACTGACGGAGGGAAGTCAAATGGCATTGGTTATTTATAAGCTACACAAGGATTTTAACAGCCATGTTAAGATGGGCTTGTTGGACACCTGTGATAGAGACTGGCTACTTGCTCAAGAGATCCACTTCCTTTCTTCACGGGCACATTTGCCAGCCCCCTTGCACCCAGATGGGGTCATATGCATGAGTTTTGGCCAATGGCATGTGGGAAATGTCATTTATGCCATTTCCAGGCCTGACCCATAAACACGAATCTAGGTACTACTTTGAAGAGATTTTGGAGATGTAACTAAGGTCCCAAATCTATTGTCTTTTAAGAAAGGGAGATTACACAGGTAGGACTGACCTAAGCCCATGACCCCTTGAAAAGTTGTTTTCTGTGGGTGGTCACAGAAGGGAAAGTCAGAGATTCAGAGCACAGGAGTGACTCAACATGCTTCTGTTGGACTCTAGATGGAGAGGGTCACGTGGCAAGGGATGTGGTGCCTCCAGGAGCTGAGTGTGGCCCCCAGCTCACAGCCAGCATGGAATGGAGTCTTCCGTTGTACAGCCATGGGAACTGAAATCTGCCAACAAGGAGAATGACTTTCCCCAGAACCTCCAGACAAGAACTCAGCCCACTGACTCCCTGATTTCAGCCTTATGATACCCTAGGCAGCGAGCCCCGCCTTGTCGAGGTGGACTGACCTACAGAACTGTGAGCCAATAAATGGGTGGTATTTTAAGCTGCTAGGTTTGTGATCATCTGTTATGTGACAACAGAAGACTAATACACCAGTGGAATCTTCTGCAGGGTTTTCTGAGTTAAATTTCTGCTATACTAGTGCATCACTAGTATTTTAGAAAGACCCTGGGTTATATAGAAAAAGGAAGAGGAGTTAATTTTACTCTCTATGATCAGCAGTTTATACTAACATCGATGGAGAAGAAAAGATCATGTTCCTCCACCAGTTGTCAACATGAGCTGTTAATATCTATCAATGATTCTCATAGTAGCTAAATATATTGGCTTTGGAGTTAATCCCACCAGGATCCAAATCCTGGTCCAGACACTTATTAGCTGTGTAGACTTGGGAAAATCATTTAGCTTCTATTTTCTCATCTATAAAAATGGAGTTGTCAGTGAAAAATTAAGCAAAATTAAGAGCCTAACACATACTAGCTGCACAATAAATACTAATTTCCCTTCTTTACCAAATAATTTCTCTCTTTTCTTTTCTCTCTTCTCTTCCCTTCCCTCCCCTCCTCTCCTCTTCTCTTCTTTTCTTTTCTACCAAATAACTTCTAATACTTTCCCTGGCCTGCTTTTTTGTTTTTTTGCTTTTCTGTCATCTCATGTGTTAGGATTTTATACGGTAAGAGATAGACTGCACATACTGAAAGGTACTGAAAAATAAACTCTTAGGGGAAAGGCTCCTATGTACAAGATAGGCCCATTAAGATTTACTTTAATCTGAAATGAAAAGAGATTTTGTCAGAACAAATTTGTAAGAGTAAACTTTCAGCGGCAAATGAGGTGAAAAAGGGCAATAGCCAAGATTTTACAGGGAAAGTGGTGTTGGTGATTTCTAGAACTTTCCTGACTGGGGTGCCAGGTTGCCTGGGGGATGGGGATGAGGGTGAGGAACAGTAATCCCACAGATACAAGCACATCACACCTAGGACTTCTAGAGTGACCGTATCTTCTTCCAGGTTTTGGCCTTGCTCAGATGGGGCGCTAACTTCACAGCGATATTTCCCAGCATCAGTTCTTGTAACATTTTTGATCCGTATACTGAAATCTATCATCTCAGCTCGATCTTTAAAATCACCTTTTAGAAAAAGAAGACAATGATGTTAATAACAGTGCAAATAACTTTCTATATACTACCTTCCTCAAGTCACTTCATTCAGTGACGAAGGCATTTATTTTCCTATTAATAAACTCAATTTAAAAAATAATAAAGGACTCTTAAGTATAGGAAACAAACCGAGGGTTGCTGGAGGGGAGGTTGGTGGGTGGATGTGGTAACTGGGTGATGGGCATTAAGGAGAGTACGTGATGTGATGAGCACTGGGTGTTATACGCAACTGATGAATTATTGAACTCTATATCTGAATTTAATGATGTACTATATTTTGGCTAATTGAATTTAAATAAAAAATAAAAACTCAAAACATTGTATGCAGATGCTGCTATTTCAAATTTCTTCTTGTTTTTTAGAATGACGTACAGTTCACAAAAGAACATTCAGTTCAATATTCTCATATTTCAGAGGATTCAGTCCTCATTCCTGCCTCATCCCCTTTCTAATAGGCTTATACAAACATTCCCACCTTCAGAAGACACTGCAGCATCTAGTTCAATTAGCTGGAACAGTAACTTTATGTGCGGTGGCCCACATCATACTGCCACAAAAGAAAAGGTGAAGGGGTCTTAAAAACACTCTTTTGATTAGTTTTTGGTAGTAATATGTACAGAATTAAAATAGCGTTTTATAGAACATTCAGGTGATATATTGGCAACAGTAGAAAATTCACACAAAGACAGCCCTGCAGCCCACAGCGGTCTTATCTTGACCGATGAGAACAAGAGGGGTATTTTAAGTTTTTTATGGACTTTGGACGTTTGTTCATGTGTTTAATTCTTTAAAATTAAAGTGATGCATAGCATTCTAAAATAATACCATGCTTCTTATACTTGTTAAACTATATTTGCAACTTTTAAAATGTCTATAATGGAAAATTTCAGGCACATAAAAAATTACAGAGTATTGTAAAATAAATCTCATCACCCAGTGATAACAGTAATCCATGCATGGCCTATCCTATTCCATCTGTACATCTAAACAATGAATTATTTTGAGGTAAATACCACACATCATAGCATTTTATCCATTATTATCAATACTTTAAAAGCTCATTATATATTCAACGGGAAAAACAGTAAGTGGAAAGAAATGTATAACAAAGAATTAAAATACAGCACTGGTTAAAGGTAGTTGTATTTACCTTCCCCTGCCATAAGTCTAAGTCTTAACTGCATAGGCTTCTTAGTGATGGCCTAGCTTTCTAGATGGTGATATGGAAATAGGGTAAAATTATTACCACCGAGCAGTGACCCTTCATCTCACTTCCACATCATCTCTTTTTCCTTTCTCTCAAGAGTTTAATCTACTGGGCCAGCAAGAACCATTCCATTTTACATCCTTTAGGGCTGAGCTGAGACATGAAGGGTCCAGGGTCTCCATGGAGTTCACCTTCTTCTGTTCTCTGTTCCATTTTCGTGGTGATTGTGTTCTAGGTCTCAGTCATTGCTGGTTTCATCTCACACTTACAAAACACATTCTCTTTCACCATACACAAAAATAAAATCAAAATGGATTAAAGACTTAAATGTGAGACCTGAAACCATAAAAATCTTTGAAGAGAACACAGGCTCTCTCTGACATTGGCTGTAGCAAGTTTTCTAGATAGGTCTCCTGAGGCAAGAGAAATAAAAGCAAAAATAAACTATTGGGACCACATCAGAATAAAAAGTTTCTGCACAGTGAAGGAAACAATCAAAACTAAAAGGCAACCTATGGGATGGAAGAAGATATTTGCAAATGATGTCTCTGATAAAGGGTTAGTATTCAAAATATATAAAGAACTGAATCAACTCAATACCCAAAAAATAAATAATCCAATTAAAAAATGGGCAGAAGACATGAACAGACATTTTTCCAAAGAAGATAGACAAATGGCCAACAGACATGAAAAGATGATTAACGTCACTCATCATCAGGGAAATGCAAATCAAAACAATGAGGTATCACCTAGCACCTGTCAGAATGGCTAACATCAAAAACACAAGAAACAACAGGTGTTGGTGAGGATGTAGAGAAAGGAACCCTTGTGCCCTGTGGGAATGCAAACTGGCACAGCTACTATGGAAAACGTATGGAGGTTCCTCAAAAAATTAAAAACAGAACTACCCTATAATCCAGGAATTGCACTACTGGGTTTTTACCCAAAGGATACAAAAACACTAATTCAAAGAGATACATGCACCCCTATGTTTACTGCAGCATTATTTACAATAGCCAAATTATGGAAGCAGCCCATATATATATTGTATATAAATATACAATGGAATGTTACTCAGCTATAAAAATAATGAAATCTTGCCATTTGCAACAACATGGACAGAGCTAGAGGGTATTACGCTAAATGAAATAAGTTAGAGAAAGACAAATACCATATGATCTCATTCATATGTGGAATTTAAGAAACAAAACAAGTGAGCAAAGGAAAAAAGAGCGAGAGAGAGAGGGAGAGAGAGAGAGAGAGGCAAACCAGGAAATAGACTCTTAACTATAGAGAAAAAACTGATGGCTACCAGAGGGAGGTGGGTAGGGGAATGGGGGAAATAGAAGAAGGGGATTAAGAGTATACTTATCACGATGAAAATAACATAAAATAAAATAAAACAAAATAAAATGATTTAAAAAACCCACATTCTCAGTAACTAGTCCTGTCCTGTTCTCATTTGTAAATTAAAGAACCCAGGCTGCACTTGGTGTTCTCTTGCTCTCACCTCATCAAGTCTACAGCTTCTTACCTTGAAGAGCCTGTTGGTAGTAGACAAAGGAGACACTCCGGCCCAGTTTCTTCCACTCTAATCTGGAGGAAATGGTCTTCTTTGGATATTTACAGGCTAAAATAACCTCTAAGAACAACAACAAAAATACTTGTTTTCTAATTGTCCCTATGAATTTATATTTTACTTAAGTAAATTTTTTAAACAGCCTTAAGCTATTTCTTTATACTTCCATTCATTCATTCATTCTTTCATTCATTCATTCATAAATTACTTTAATGGGCACCATGTTGGCTTAACCCAAAGATGAATTGAAAGCATTATAGCTCTTCTCCATAATAACTGCATGACACTAGGCTACTGACCCTAGTTCTTGAGCCTCAATTACCATCTGTGAATTAAGATAGTATGTCGTAGTGTTGTAGTGAGTCTTCAAATACAGTAATACATGCAAAGCACACATGCCTGGACATGGTAAGTAACTTAAAAATGGCAGTCATGGTCAATTACTTATCATTTATCTTACTATTCCCAGTCTCAGTCGTCAGGGAGTTTACAGCCTGGGAGAAGAGATAAATAAGATAATGTAATTTTGTTCCATTGTTCATAGTGCCATGAGCGCTATGGAGGTAAACAGAGAAAGGCACTCAGTGCAGCCTGTGGGATCCACAAACATTCCTTCAACATGTACATTCTCACTCAGACCCATTCTTTGATAAGCCTCTCTATGGATATATTGGTACGAACCCGATATGATCTTCTACTAAATCATGGGTTCCTAATCCTTATCTCTATCCAGATAAATTATGAGAAGATTTAATCTTGGCATCAAGTTTAACTGCCTCACTGTAGCGCATTTAAGTCACTTTATTGCAGGAAATTTACTGTAGTTATGCCATTAAAGAATTCTTGGAACCTCCGAAGGAACCCCCTCTTTTAACTGTCCAAACAAGATGACTGGGGGGAGGGAGGGAAGTCCAGTACCTATTGGCCAACTGCTTTGAGTTGCCAAAAGGAAACCTCTGGTTGTAAATATTTTTAAAGTACATTTCAGTCACGCTCTCTAGAGTGTCATCTTCATGTTTCTGAGACATTTTTTTCCCACAATGCATTCAGTTTGATCCCAAAAGCACACATCTTTGACTAGAGGAGGTTCAAAATCCTTTCCATACCTCTGATTCTGATGTAGCAGATTAAATGCCATTTTATTTTTTTAAGATTTTATTTTTAAAGATTTAATGCCATTTTAAAAAACAATTCAGATGTAGCCATCAAAACAAATGAAATCTTGCCATTTGCAAGGACGTGGATGGAACTAGAGGGTATTATGCTAAGCGAAATAAGTCAGTCAGAGAAAGACAATTATCATATGACCTCGTTCATATGTGGAATTTGAGAAACAAGGCAGAGGATCACAGGGGAAGGGAGGGAAAAATGAAACAAGACGAAACCAGAGAGGGAGACAAACCATAAGAGACTCTTAATCTCAGGAAACAAACTGAGGGTTGCTGGAGTGGTAGGGGGTGGGAGGGACGGGGTGGCTGGGTGATGGAGGGTATGTGCTATGGTGATCGCTGTGAAGTGTGTAAGACTGGTGAATCACAGACCTGTACCCCTGAAACCAATAATACATTATATGTTAATAAAAAAATTCAGGGTATTATATGATATGGTAGATTAGAGAGCAATACTTGTATCATCCCAGGTTTTATTAATATACACATAGATATGGACAAAAAGCCAAAAAATATGTATGAAAATATTAACCCAGTGATGATTTCTGCATGATAGAATTGTGGTTTTTCTTTTTGTTATATGTAGTTTCTAATTTTCCTTTTAGTTCCACACACATTGCTAGAAATACAGAAACAGAATACAAGGTAATGGAAAACAGAAAATAGGACAGAGAAAAGAAAGGCAAGGGGAAAAAAAACCCACAAAATTGTTTTCAAGGGTGCCTAAAGTTTTTAGAGCAGGTTTTACATGACAAAGAGACATCATTTTACAGACATGTTTACAATTATGCTACAAAGACAAATGTGTGCTGAGGGACTTGTCTGAGGAAACACGGTTCTGTTCTGTTGATTAAGGAGAATGGGTGGTGACTTTCCGGAGTCTTGAGTTTGAGATAGGTTTCCTTCCCGTATTTTGTTGGGTTTCCAACAATTAAACACACACCCACACTCATTTTTAGCCCATACGCTCAGGTCTTAGGAATAAATTTGTACTTGTTCACATTGTTTCATATATTTAACTACATACACAGGCATACACACACACACACACAGAGCCCTTTTCACCAAGAAGATTTGACTTCTGTCCTCATTGCTCTATGGAAAACCTCTGCAGAAATTATATTCAAAAACGAAACCAATGGTTTTCCTAAATGCAGTGACACCATTCTCTTGCCTCACTCACAGTTACCATGGAGGATGTGTAGAGATGGTCTAAGTCATCCAACTGTTGAGTACTTACTGTGTGTCCAGCATTGTTCCTGAGCTATATCAGTGAGCAAAACAAAGATCTCTGTTCTTTCAGGTCTCACAATTTGCAGGGGGAGTCAGGCACACAAGAAATATCATAAAGTGAATTAAATGCTACATTGGGAGGTAATGAGTGCTATGGAAATAAAGCAGAGTAGCTCAGGAGTGTTGGTTTTCAATTACAAAACACCTGAGTAGTCAGAGCTCAACTCATTTAGAGAGTGCCATTTGACCAAAGACTGAAAAAAAGAAATTAGAATTCCTTAGAATTTGAGTACAAATTTCGTAGAATTCGAAATTGGAATTCACCACGTGTTTCTTTGGGACTACTCCAAGCAAGGCCACGGTCAGTGCCTCCATCTGAAGGTGCCAACACCATGACCTCTGGAACTGGGAGAAACAGTAAGTCAGCTGGAATCATGGGGTCAACATCTGAGGATAAAGAACCAGATGAACTGAGAAGCTAACTACCATGGACTCTCCTCTCTCTTTTCAGTTAAAATGCAACGCTCACGACCAGTATAATCTTGTATGTAGCCCTTAGGGTTATTATCCCATAAGGTAGTAGTTTAAGGCATGGCCTTTTGGAGTTGGACCTCCGCCATACACTATGTGTGTGATGTTGGGCAAATTACTTAACTGTTTTTGAATGTTATACTCATATATTTTTTAAGATTTTATTTATTTTGAGAGAGAGAGAGAGAGAGAGAGAGAGCAGGCTCTCTCCCCTGAGCAAGGAGCTCAATGTGGGGCTTGATCCCGGGACTCCAGGATCATGACCTGAGCCGAAGGCAGACGCGTAACCAACTGAGTCACCCAAGCGTCCCTATACTCACATTTGTAAAAAGAAACAATATAACAGTGCTCATCTCATGAAGCTAGTGTGAAGTTTAAGTGAGGTAATATATCAATACACTTGGGTGTGTGTGGTACTTTGTACATGGTGCGTGCTCCATCAGTGGTTATTATTGCTTTCACCCCTGAGAAACTTCTTTTAGTTGTAGTTGTAAGTATGCCTTGACATGATAGAAATCCCTGCTTTCTACAACCCAAATTTACCTAAGAATCACTCAAATTTGAACTAAAACCGTTACCTTTGAGACAGCAAAGGATAGGATACAGACATAAATCATATTTTCTCAAAACAAGGCATACGAACGCATAAAATGCACCAAGTTTTTTTTATTATGATGATCATTTCATTCCCCAAAATATGTTTCCTTTGGGTCAAGGAAAGATGATTCTTTTGTTTAGAAAAAGCGTATTAGCAATAACTATTTTCATGTAGCAAAATAGTCACTTTTAGGGATCACATCGATAGAAATCACTGTGAATTTTAATTTTTCTAGGATTCTGTACTGCTATTATCTTTTGATGTTAGCCTCTGTGCTCAAGTATAAAATCATCAAAATCTTATATAAGCAAAAATAGAATTGACACGACCAACACAGCTCTGAAGAATTACCAAGAAATTACTTCTGTGAAGAAAAGCATGTTATTAACCTGATTTATAGCTCACAGGGTTGGACATTCTGCATAAAGGCTGCTTATATAATTTATAAGCTTAGCAAAGCTGCTATCACTTCAGTCTTGTTCTGTTCTTGGCACCACTGTGGGAAGTGATACAAAACAGCAGTACTGCAAAGAAGGAATTAATTCATGATTTGTTGACATCAGAGAGACAAGAGAAAAAAAAAGTGAAATGAATTAGGTGGAACACACCCACACATATACACAAATCACAAGATATTTTACACTTTAACTAAAATCAAGTCATTGCATGAAATATGCTACAACTAAAATGTGGAAGAAGATAGAAATTTATTTTTGCTTTAAGGAGAGCCAAGTTGGAACGACTGGGGCACATATAAAATAGGATCAAAATATAAATCTTTGTCTTAAAAGATTTATTTATTTTATTTGTGTGTGTGTGAGAGGGAGAGAGAGAGAGCACGTGCACACGTGAGTGGAGGAAGGGGCAGAGGGAGAGAAGCAGATTCCCGCTGAGCGCAGAGCCCCCACCCCCCCATGTGGGGCTCTATCTCAGGAACCCGAAATCCTGACCTGAGCCGAAACCAACAGTCGGACGCTCAACGGATTGAGCCACCCAGGTGCCCCTATAATTCTTAATTTAAAAGAGCAGAGGGGAAACAAAAAAATAAAAATAGAAAATACTTACTCAGGAATAAGACTAACATTTGATTGCAATAAATTATAGAAGGATTTTTTTATATTAAAAATAAAGTACACATTAAAAAGTAATGTAAATAGTACACAATTTTAATTTGGAGTTGCTGGAAGTTTTTGGAACTAGACAGAGGTGGTAGTTACACAGCATTGTGAATGTACTAAATGCCACTGACCCATTCACGTGAATGTGCTGGTTTGATGTTATGTGAATTTTGCCTCCATACATTTTTTTTTTAAAAGTAATGTAAGACTGTAGAATTTAACTTCGGCATCCTAACTGAGGTATCATGCCATAGGGCCTGCGTGGCGGCGGGTGGGGGAGAGCAGGGATGTATATTCATGGTACCTACTGGGCCCAACAGTGAGAAGCTTCAGGAAAGTACAAAGGAGGGCAATTCACTTCTTTTGTCCTCACAGAGTCCTGGCCCATCTCATCCTCTCAATGTGTGATCCCTCTTTTAGCCTTTCTAGTCTCCTTTTCAACCCCTTGTCCAGGTCTGATTATCTCCCGCTTCAAGTGCTCCATAGCCCTACATCACTCCCAAACATAAATTTGCTCTTCCCACGTCTCTCCACTTAAAACTAATTCATGATAAAGCGTTGAGTGTTTTATTAGCTTAATCATGTAATATATTAGGACTTCATCAACTGAAATAGTTACTTAAGTGATTTGTTATCAAGTGATGTGTTACTTGTGAATGGCAGGCCCATTCTTACTGTAGCATATTTTTACTGAAGAAGCACATATAACGCTGTGTGCTGGGCACTGCTATAAGTACTAGCTAAATACTAATCTACTTAGTTCCTTCCCACCCAGTTCTCTCCTTTAATCTTTGTCTCTTTCCTTCAAACCTGTCTCTCCCAACTCCAAGAACCTAAGACATGCCTGAAGACAAGAGTTCAGACACATTTGAAACTTGTTTCTTAAAAGTTTGCAATCTCTGGCCCAAACTAGCATCACACTTAGGACATAGTAATTCTCCTGGTTGCCTAGTATTATTGTGCTCTAGGTAAAAGAGCCTTCAGAATAGTAGTAGGTGGTCAATATTTGAAGTAAACTTAAAAAAGCCCTTATAAAGTTTTCCTTGGGTATCAGAGTCTTTAAAAAAATTTTTAAATTGTGGTTAAGATCTTAACATTTACCATCTTAACACTTTTTTTTTTTTAAGATTTTATTTATTTATTTGACAGAGAGAGACATAGTGAGAGCAGGAACACAAGCAGGGGGAGTGGGAGAGGGAGAAGCAGGCTTCCCACCACCGAGCAGGGAGCCCGATGCGGGGCTCAAGCCCAGCACCCTGGCATCATGACCTGAGCCGAAGGCAGACGCTTAACGACTGAGCCACCCAGGTGCCCTACCATCTTAACACTTTTTAACTTTTTCCCACCTTAATGATTTTTAATGATTCAGTAGTGTTACATATATTCACATTGTTAAGTAACCAATCTCTAGAACTTTTTCATCTTGCAAAAGTGAAAGTTTATATCCTTTAAACACCAACTCCCTATTGTAAATATATTTAAGAAGCTAAAATACATAACAAAATGGCACCCCAAAATAGGCTATATTAATGTCATCTTAAAAACATTAAGTAGAGTGGGGTTTCCGGTGTTAATTTCCATTTGCCATATCCAGCTGGCTGGAAACTTTGCAAAACCTCTGTCTACCAGTTTCACAAATTAGATCTGCTTTGTTGCAGATAATTTATGCAATTAGAGGCCTTCTTTGTACATCAGGTCTTTCATTTCCACTGAGGAGGTGGAGAAAGAGTTCTCAAGTGGAAACAGCACAGAGCAGCATTTTGGAAGGAAGAACTAGTGTGAGGTGACACTGCAGGGTCCCAACAAATAGATAACATCACCCACGTCATACTTGTGAGTCTTTGAACAACACAGTCCGTGAAAAGCATAAGTTACTCTACCTTGATACTCTATTGCTGTGACCACTTGATGGTCTTTTGGGGCAGAGAATCCATAGGCCTTATGATCTGAAAGATTAAAACAGATAGGATAATTAAAATAGTACCAAAGGCCACTTGCAAATATCTGAATGGGATGCAACATTAAGGAAAACTGGCCTAAAGTTTGGTGACGGTTTCACACATTCATAACCCACAGGTTTTAAAGTATCAAAATAAGAAAAACCAAGCCAAACCCTCTATGTCTCTTCCATTTTCTGTATTGTGGTTTTCTGCCCTCCCTTCACAAAGCAAAACCCATGGATCTGTAAGGGGCCCATGACAGACAACACAATTTCACAAGCTTGATTGTGAAAGGATTTTTTGTTGTTGTTTTTTTTTTAAGATTTATTTATTTATTTTAGAGAACATGGGAGCAGAGGGAGAGGCAGAGAAGCAGACTCCCCACTGAGTGCAGAGCCTGACTCTGGGCTAGATACCAGGACCCCAAGATCATGACCTGAGCCCAAACCAAGAGTCCAAGAACGCTCAAGGGACTGAGCCACCCAGGCGCCCCAAGCCTGATTGTTAAACAAGCGTCTTTGTCCTTAATTTAGCCTAGTATGCAATCTAGCGCCTAAGGTATTGCCCCTTTAAGATAAAAGCTAATTATTTAAGGGTTTAAGTCGCTTTACAAACTTATCCCTGATTATACCTACATCGTATAGAAATGGGTCATTTAACATATTTTTGACTAGGAAATGTATATATAATACATACTGTATATAAACCTTGTATTACAAATATGATGAAAAATGCAAGCAGAACGTCTTTATTTTTCTCCCAAAAATTTCAGTGATTTTCCAGGATTGGTCTATAGGTTTGAAATGACTGACCAATTCCAGTGGCTGGTGTGATCTGATTATAATACGACAATGACGATGATGAGATCATCATTGCTTTCATAAACTTATATAGAAAATTTCATTTTTTTAAAGATTTATTTATTTATTTTAGAGGGCGGGGGGAGGACCAAAGGGAGAGAGAGAATCTTAAGCAGGCTCCACAATGGACGTGGGGCCGACCTAACAACCCTGAGATCATGACTTGAGCCGAAACCAAAAGTCAGATCCTTAACTGACTGAGCCAACCAGATGCTCCAACAGTAGTTAACATTTATTAAACACTTAGGTGTTGGGCAACATTCCCAGTGCTTTCCAAGTATTAACTCAATTAACTCTCACAACAATTCTCTGTGGTCGGGTACCACCATTTTTATCCACCTGTTTTGCTGGTGGGGACACTGAGACCCAGACAGGGTAAGAAACCTTGGTCAAGGTTATCCGAGTAGTAAGTGGTGGGGCTGGGATTTGAACTCATCCATTCTATTCCCAAAGCCCATGGAGTTTATTACTATACTACTACACTGGGCCCCACATCGTGTTTCCCCCAAGCAGAACTATGGGGAAGGACTGCAGATTAGCAAGGACGCTGGGTGGAAAGGTCCATTGATCTAACGAAGATGGGATAAGGTGAGAAATTGGTGGTTATAATGAAGGCACAACAGGAAGACGGAAGCTGGGCGGCGGTAACTGGAAAAGTAGGAGAAGTAGCAGGGCATGGCAATCTCAGCGGGGAGGCTCTAGATGAGGGTTTCTCCATCTTGGCACTATTAACCATTGGAACCAGCTCATCCTTTGTTGTGGGGGGGCTGTCCTGTGCACTGCAGGATGTTTTGCAGTATGCCTGGCTTCTGCCAGTAGAACCTCCATCTCCCCTGTAGCAAACCCAAGTCATGACAACCAAAAATGTTTCCAGACATTGCCAAATGCCCCCAGGGGGTGGGGGTGGGGAAATCATACTTGGTGGAAAACCACTGCTTTAGACTTAGCAGGTAGGCTGATTGAAGACCCAGGAATAGAAATAAATAGACTAAAGGAGGACCAAAAAACCATGAGTTCAAGGATTTCAAAAAAAGTACCTAAGAGATCAGAATTTCTTGAATATGAAATAACGTATTACATTTCTGGGAAGGAGTGAAAAATGTTTCATAGAACACGCCATCTTTGATTTATTCATCTATATGGACACTGACATGTAAATTATGACACTGTCCTAAGACCTCATCCCTCCTAAGGAATACATGCTATTTGGGGTAACTTTTTTCCCCCCCTCTCCCTGAGAAGCCTGGACAGCAAATGTAATTGTGAAATGAAAACTCTTAGAAACCTACAGGCCTCAAATGTGTAGTTCTCCTATCTAACATTGTTCAACTCTTCAGGTTCTATATCTCTAAATTGCAAACATCTTCATTAGGCAAATCGGCAAAGCTGGTGTCTATTGCAAAGAATATAGAATTGAGCTGATTGCTTTCATTGACAGCTGCTGTAAATACATTTGTATAAAGCAGTGACCTACGTGGCCCAGTCTTAAGAGAGGTGTCACGTCACGAAAGAGTGATTTCAAAATACCGCTTTTGCTTGTGTTTAAAAAAAAAAAAAATGAAGGGGTCCAAGCAAACTTTTTAAGTGTCCCCCTTTCCCTTTTTCCACATACTCTGCCACATGCCATAATGTCCCATAGTCCTCTAAACCCTACCCTCACCCCTATATGCCTTTCTTTTCCAGTTTCTCCTCTCCTTCCCCAGTTTTATTTTGTAGATCCCAAAGAGGGTCCGGATCTTCAGAGAACAGAGGGAGGGAAGACACTAAGCTGACCAAGCCAGGAAAGCCAGGACCTCATACGTTCATTCTGTGTTACACCTACGTTTAAATGACATGATCACTGAATGTTTTCCCAATAATTTTGATTCCAAATCATTATTCTGTGAAACTTTCAAAGCACACTTTGAAAAAGCCTCTTTTTTCCTTTAGCAATGCGTAAATTAGTGCCCTCAGAGAAATTCGGATTGTGACAGGCGTTTCTTGTGATTTTTGAACTACTTTAGTAGATTTTTTAGACAAAACAATGAAAACTCATATTCCCTAGAAACCAGTTGAGGGGAAAATCTGGGCAAAATAGAAAAAGATAATCTTTGTTCCCTCCACATCATCATATCTTTGAACTTTTCAAACACTGCACTGCCTACTGAGAATGTTTATTTTCTTCAGCAGGCTTGGGTTGTCTTTCATTTGAAGTGAATGTTAGTCCAATCTGAGACTGGAAGATTTAGAACTGGGTCCAATTATTTTCCCCTTTTCTCAATTCCAGTTTCCTACTTGCTAAAACATCCTTTGAGAAAGACTTCTCAAATTTTCAAAAATCACTTTAAAAAGTTCTATGGAAAATAGTGGCTGCTAACTCAGGAATTTTATTAATTTCTTCATTACTTTTACATGTATATGTTTGAATAGAAAAAAAATGTCCCAAACATCAAAAAAGAGAGGATTGATTGAATTGGCAAAACTATGAATGCAAAACAATTATAAAGGGGATTGGTTTTAGTAAATTTATAAATAGATATTATTTCTTGGTACCTGAATATTTATTTCTGTGATGTTAAGTGTCTTCTAGCTACGTTGCTTCCTCTGGTTCTATTTACTTCAAGGTTTGCTTTTTAATTAAGTACCTTATGGTGAACTTATTTAAACAGAAAGTTCTGAATCTTAAAAAGACAATTATACATTATAAGATTTCCACCTTGTTTTAAGCATTTCTGGTCTTGGAATTCGGTTGTGTTGTGTTGTTGTTGTTTTTTTTTTTTTAACTTGAATCCAATAGCTTTATGAAAACAAAATGTTGGATTTTTTATCATCATTTCACTAACAGATGTTAGGAAGAGTCTCTGTTGGCTGCTTTCTTGAACTGATTTTTATTTTTTCTTCACCTTTCCAGAGTGAGTGAAAAAAGAAAACAAACAAAAAATTGTCATGTAGGTCTGCTGGTTGAGGTCAACAATTGTTTTAAAGTTAGCTACAAAACATCTTTAATAGTTTTGGATGTGTTCCAAAATCACTGGCAGAAGTTCATAAAATGATGTTAAGAGAGGGGCGCCTGGGTGGCTCAGTCATTAAGCGTCTGCCTTCGGCTCAGGTCATGGTCCCGGGGTCCTGGGATCGAGCCCCGCATCGGGCTCCCCGCTCAGCGGGAAGCCTGCTTCTCCCTCTCCCACTCCCCCTGCTTGTGTTCCCTCTCTCACTGTGTCTCTCTCTGTCAAATAAATAAATAAAATCTTTAAAAAAAAATGATGTTAAGAGATGATTATTTCCATAACTGCTAACAACTCCAAGTCAAGTAATCCCTAACCAAATGAAATCTTTTGTGTTTCTTTTCCCTCAACTCTAAGAATAAAATTTCTTACATTGTCTATCAATCATTTAAAATATTCTTGTGTGACTAAGGATAATCTAGTATGACTAAGAATAAATATTTATATTTATATCACAATTTTTAAATTTACTATAAAAGTGTTATTTAAAAAGTAACTTTTAATTGGAAACATGATGAGGAAAAACTGATGTGTTACAGAGGTTTTGGTTCTAAGAGTACATTATAGAGAGTACCATGGTAAAAACAAGTTATAAAAACTGTGCATATGAGTTATTTCATAAGTTTTCAAAAATGAAAATTAGTAGCCATGTGGCTGACAATCACTAATACACAATTATTGTACTAACAAATATAGAAAAGATGCACAGGGCTAGTAGTAACAGATAAAATAACACTATCCAGTATGTATGTATGTATTTATTTATTAAAGGAGACTTTTAATTTTTATTTATTTTTTAATTTTATATTTGCATTTTTAAATTCAATTAATTAACATTTAATGTAGTATTAGTTTCAGACATAGAGTACTTTCCAGTATTTATTATGGATAAATATTTATAGGGTAAAAAGTCTCCCAATGAAGTAGGAATCAGGAGTTAGGTTAATATACTTATCTATCTCACTATCATTCAACCATAGTGGGTCTAGAGAGGAGAGAGAGGGGGAGAGATAAACCTGTCCTTCCGTCTTCAAACTGAATATTCTGGCCCCCCCTTTTTTTTTGACAAGATTTATTTCTTTATTTGAGAGAGAAAGAGAGCATGTGAGCCAGGGGAGAGGGAGAGAAGCAGACTCCCTGCTGAGTGGGGAGCAGGCTAGAT